GGGCGATAGGTTCTTAGCCGGTTGGTTCCTTGCCAGCTGGAGTGAATTCATTGTTGCTTATTCTTTCTGCCCATCTGATCTTCAGTACCGAGTTAGCGTAGGTGGCAGCTGTTCATCCGTGATGTCTGCAATTTGTTGGAAATGCTTTTCCTAACGCGCCAAGTCTCTCAACCATCACATAAAAGCACTCACTTACTTGACTGAATGAATTAGTGTTGAAAATCCGGATCTGTGAACAAGATGGGTGAAATGCAGTGGAGTAGATCTCCACACTGATTATTTCAGGTTAACAAAGGCCTGTCCTGCTGCCTTCCCGATCCTGGCTTTGACGTCCTCATCTGTGCCACCACCTGTGGTTGGAACGATGCTGCCTAGTTGGGTAGGTAGATGAAAGAGATTACTCCCTTTAGGATTCTCCCGTTACTGGTGATTGGTGACCCTTGTTGTTGATGCTGTTGTTGGTTGGGCATCTCATCACCTCTGTCTTCTCTACGTTCACCTGAAAGAAGTCCCATCTTCCTTCTCTGCCTCGCCTCTTCTGTCAACTTGTTGATTTTTGCCTGTAGATTCTTGAGTTCGTGCGACATTGGACAGTAGACATAAATCATCATCGTTGGCGGAATCCAAATCTCCTAGGTCTATTTCATCAGTCCGGCCAGCGTATGCTCATCTTTCCACAGCTCCTCACGGTTTGCTGCATGATCCAGTTGACCATAATCAGTAAGATGATCGGTGATAGTGGGTGGCAGACTTATCTTACGCCTGTCTCCACCCTGAAGGCGTCACTGAGCTTTCCATTGTGAATCGCTCGGCATGTGGCGTCTTCATATAGCTGTCGCAGCACTAAAACCGCAGTGTTGAAGCAGTTGCCTGCCAAATCACTTGTCGGTCGACGTTGTCGAATGCCTTTTCAAAATCGATGAAGTTGATGTAGAGCTGAGTTGACTACCATTCTATGCTCTGTTCTATGATTATGCGTAGCGTAACGTTGCACTTTGATGCATACATGATTTGTTCTTCTTCAAGCCAGCCAGCCAGTCAGCCAGCTAGCCAGTCTGTTCCGGTCGTAATCCAGTTGAATGCAGAGCATTATTTAGTCTCTTCAGTATGATGCGGCTTAATATTTAGCTTGGAGTGGACAGGTGTGGAGCATGATTCCATGCGAGTCTTTGACAAGACTTAGGTTTCCCCACTTTGGAAGTTTGGCAGGGTACCCCTTCTTCATCCTCTGCTTAACCATCACCATCTTCCTGTTCCTTCTTGCTCGATCAGCTTCCATGTGGAGATCCTGTCTTGTCTTGTCTTGTCTTGTCTGGTTTCTTCTTCCTTCCTAGCACGGTTATGTAGCTTTCTCTCCACATCTCTCTCAAAGAGTTCCAGTCTTCTTCCATGCAGGTTTCTCCACAGACACCGCTCAATATCCCCCATTTTGTCCTGATGACTGACCGACTGACTGACTGACGTGAAGATGTCCTTTGTAGTTTCGTCCTTCAATTCAGTTTCTGTTCTCGGTCGGTGTTCAACTTGAACTGTGGCCTAACACCAACTCCTTTGAAGGCTTTCAACTTGATTTTCAAGGTACATTCTTAGCACTAGGTAGTGAGTGGTGTGAACCTACCTTCATCTGCTCCCCTTCTCCATCTGATTTTGTGTCCAGTAGCCTGGCTGTGTCTCCACTTTCTTCACATTGAGATGAAGTCGATCTGATTTGTAGTGTGTAGTGTGTCCATGTGGTGAAATCAAATCCGTGTCTTTCCCTTTGTGAACATGCTCACGTCTGTAGAAACGGTAAGTCGTTGAGTGCGCAGAAATCTGCAAACAGCTCTGCATTCTGTCTCATCTCACGTAGTGCTTCTCTACCCATGATTGGTTCTCTTCCTCTGTTGTCTGCTCCCAGTTTGTCATACATGTTGCCCCACTCATTAGAGCTTTGATGCCACCAACTGGGATGTAGTCCTGTCCAGTACTGATTGCAGTTATCTGTAGAATTCCTCCTTCTTCTCTTGACCTGCATTACTCCTAGGTGCCTAGCGTTGCAGTGTACTACTATGACTTTCCTTCCTCTTCAGTTGAATTTCGGTGTCACGATTTGATCCTCCTGGAGGAGATTGGTTCCCATCGTCTGAGAGCCCTCAATGCTGATATCCACTCGAAAACTCAGTGTGCTGGTGGTTGTCGTCTGGGTGACAATATCAGAGTAGATTATTGACTCCCCTGTAGTTGGCAGCTTGGAGAGCCCACTTCCACTCCATCTGCAGATTTTCAGCACTTTGATGCTATACGCTGTCATCTCCTCTGCAGTCTGGTTAGCTTTGTTAGGTTCACACATCGTTCGGACGCTCCACGCTCCCATGTCAACTTCTGCTTCAACCGAGAGAAGATACATCGGTCAATTGGCCTGCCGAAGGCTCTCACCGACCGGCGTCCCTTAGCCTCTCCGATTCAAGCGAAGAATAAGTTTGGTTTTTTGTTTTCTATATTTGCTTTGTGCGTAGAGGTTCCTCTGTCTATTGGATTGGCTTTCCGCTGTAAGGTTGTTAGCCATTTACCCTGTCTTCCCTCTTTACCCGGGCTTAGGACTGGCTTGTGACTGGTGAACTAGTTTACTTGGCGCGGTTATTTTGCTGGCACGCTGCATTCTGATGAAATGCACCACGTATGCCTGCTAGTGAATGAGCAGGTTTGGGGGATCTGCCAACCCATCTGCATCTTAAGAAACATGCCATTCACATCGGAAATTCATACTTAGCTTCAGGTGCCATTTGTGGCTGCATATTACTGTCACCCAGCGAGGACTCTATGAGAAATCAGCCAGCGTTACTTCCTTGAGAATGGACTCATTGAACTGCCCCCTCATCTTATTAAATTTTTACTGGGCCTGTCAGGTGTAACAGCAGCCCTCTGAGGAAAATGGATGCATTCAGGTGGAAAGTCTTTATCATCGCCTCAACGAGTGCAAATTTACTTGACCTAGTAGCGGGCCAAAACACTAGTTCTCTCAGGAGCCGTTGATCTATCATGCAAACAAGAAAGTAAACGAAGGACTACACTTGGTTTTGCTGCGGCGACGACGTTCAGTGCCATTGTGGTAGATAACGCTTCTAGAGGCTAAATGGTAGGAGTACGACGCTGGAAGACAGTTTAATTTCAATAAACGAATTTGAGGTGATTTGGCAGTAAGAAAGGGGTGTGTTTTCATTGCATCCCTCCAGTGCTGAATTCATTTCCATGGTGTACGAGTCTCGTATAACCCAATTTCTACAAGGTTTTCTTGCAAATCAACAAATCAACATCGGGAACCCCGTTAAATACTAAATGACCAAGAAAATTAAAGTTCTTCCGGCTGGATTAAGCATGACTTACCTCTTTCTTTCGCCGATCGTTTGATTGCCTTACTTAAATTTTGCGTCTTTTCAAGGTTCAACATATTCGCCAGCTGATACCACAACTCACATTTCTTTATTGTATAAGTTACGAAATTCTACATCCACACGAATGATTAAACGATTCGCCATGACTGCGCCAACCCTTACACGCATTAACTACATCTGATTCCTTTTCATCTCTTGTTGGACATGAAGACCGCTACGTAACGGGAGGTATTTGGGTTGGCAAGCTTGTGGACGTAAGAATTACTGCATAATTCGCGATAACAATATCCGTAAAATTGGTATGGACCTACGGGTCGAAGATTAAAATACTACAATAGCGGCTCGCACTTCTCAGTAAAACTTGTCATGGAGTATTCTTCAGATTCACAGCGCACTATCGTTCAAGGCTGACACGCCAGCCAGAACCAAAGTGTGGAAAATATACATGGCATCAATTAACTACATGGACTGTTGCGAGGACTGGGAAGTCAATTCAGAATCCGCGGTTGAGGTCACATGGCACCCCTTCAGACAGAAGTACGCTCGGGCAACTTGACTGTCCATTATGTGAATTATCCTGAAGGGACAAAATCATTGCCATTTGCAGATAAATCTTGGAATCCGAAGTCCACCACGGCGAAGGAAAACGTGGTGGGATCTTGTCGACTGGCTACTCTAGAGGTGAAGAAGTACTGCGAATCAGGATAGAGTGAGCGTATCACAGCAATCCACCTACCTATAATGTCCTTCAGTATATGCCCCAGTCAGGCTGCAACAGAACACTTAGCGAGGTTCAACTCTGAGGCTTTTGGGGACATACTATTTAGTTTCAAGTTAGTATTCATTATTGACTGACATCAGTTAGGGAAACGTGGGAAACCTGCTCAGAGATCGAACCTAATGCCTTCAGGTTCCATGGTCAGCTAGCCTCCACCGAGCCACTGGGTCAGAATGCAATGGTCTATATTTCCTGCTTCCGCCAGTTCAGTCTCTGCAGTACTACTGAGTCCCACACTAGGACGAAGCAGGTGTGCAGTGCTCCCAGGTCTCAGATGTCTCTCCAACTGGTGTCAGTCCATGAAACTTGGAGAGGTCTTTCACCTTGGCCTTTCCTCTTGATAATACCGCGGATATGAGGGGCTCTGAATTTCGTCGTTCTGGATCTCAAGAAATGGCTCCGGGCCTGACCTTCCCTCCCTTTTCCTTCGTACTAGGTTATAAGATACGAAACGATATGGCAGGAGATTAAAAACACAAGGGACAAAAGTCAGGTCAAGTTTCGGGAGTGGCTTACCCTAGAAGTGGTGCATACGCTACTGGCTACCTACACAGGCACAGAGACCTAATGGGATACAATTACTAGTGGCTTATGGTCTTCTATAGTCAAACCACTAATTTGTATCTGATATGTGAATTCTGAATGGGTCGATTAAAATCCATTGTGATGTTTCACGAGTCTAAGAAAGCAATATTTTAAAACTGAGAAACATTTGGGCTTCAACCACTTAAACACATCTGAAAAACATTTCAATTGGACATACTTTTAAATAAGCATAACTCCATTAACTCCGTTTGACGAAATTAGGGGGCGGTCTGATTGTCCATTGGTTTTTCGTGTGTGTTAGGCAGATGGCTGATAAAAGACCAAATGAATGGGTACAGCTCCTTTTGTCAAGGTTCGATTCTCAGGTAATTTATCCACTTCTTTTCCAGCTAAAAGTATATCTTATAAGTGTCTTTGTGTAGAAGTGATCAGCACTTAAGTGTGATTTTCGACTCATGAAACTATTTTCCAGTTATTTGGAAACTTATAGCTAGAAGCTAATTATCAAGAACGAAGTGGCTTTATCACGATGATTGGCCCTCTGCTTAAGATGTTTCCCGACATATTTCACCAATTATTTACTTTTTTAGCATCTAGATGCTTCCGATAGTGACCCACGGGTAAAAGCAGAAATATTCATGTTGATTCAAAGACTTCATAAAAAAGACTTTATAATTAAATAGTGATTTCGAAGACTTCTCATTTGATGTTCTTGGTTCATAAGGTATTTTAAGATTATCAAAAGTCATGGGGTTTTTCTCAAGAATACATCTCGTAGCTTCATATAATCTTCCTTAGAATGTATTTAACTTTTTTGTTTTTGTGCTGAAAACTAGTGGAATGTTACAGGAACTACACTACCTTATGTCAGTTTACGGTAACTAATTCTCCTAAGATACTCAAAAGATTTTGGTTGTCCAGCGTTTGAGAGTGCTTACACTAATTTAGGCCTGCAGTTTTGTGAAATACAACGATTGTGTTGGACTTTATATGAACCCTATGACTCACATTTTTCCTTCTGTCTGTTTTTCTTTGTATATTAGTGGAGTGCTTTGTTGTGTTATTTTATATTAGGCTCTATATTTATCTCCAAGCTGCGATAGCTTTCTTAGCCTTTTCAAGTAAGTGGTTATTGACGGCGTTCGATTATCTAATTGGCATTTCCCATTATTCATTAGACCATTGCTTTTGAAGAATTCAAGTCAAGCTAATAAGGGAGTTAAATGGTAAAACTTTGTCTGTCTGTTTAGATGAATTCACAGAACACTTTATGGTAATCATATTACAGAGTAGTGAATTTTAGGGTGTACAATATAAAGGAAGGAAACCATTTAACGATCCTTTCCTACATTCGACATGTTGATAGTTCAGCAACCGATAACATCAATAGTGTAAGCAGGGAGAACTCATTTTTTAAAACCCCTATGTCCATGTCTGTTTAGTTATACTTCTTCGTTGGCCACAAAGTCCTTTCAGTTTATCTGTTTAGAGCGTTTTAGGTGGTGATTTTATGGTTGAAGGTTTTCTCTCAGGAATTAAAGTCTGGTTCGTTGAAAGTAGCAACGTAGCTGCTGTTACTCGTCTCACTTTATGGTAATCGGTGTTTATTAGAAGATCGAATCGAAAAATTTTACTAAGCATCCAAAAAATAGATTTGAAATGGTATTATGACTTCGAAAGCACAACTGTAAATCTTTTACTTTTCCGGGTGATACAAGTGCTATATTTTCTCAGCTTTTGATAGGATACGATAAGTAGATACATACAACAAAACATCAGTATTTCATTAGATATGTCGGTATGGGCTGATAAACGCCAAATCAAAATGTAATTCTTTGAAAGTGCTTTTAGTATTTTGAGCTTTTATACCGATAAGGAATTTAGTCTTTTGAGAAAAATTGTTTCTTTCATTTGATATCAATAAACAGGGGAGGCATAATTTTCCAATTGTAGCCGTTAAAAGTATTAAAATTCACGGTCAGGGCCTCTTATTTGTGCCAAATCAAATTCTGATAGTTTCCATGATACTTTAACAATGACAAAGGGCAATTTAAACTTTGGAATCATTGAAAATAATTTCAGATGAAGTGAATGATCTCAGTGTTGTTATGTTCTGTGAGTTGAGTGGTTTAATCTTGAAACACATTTTGTTTCTAGTCAGTGCCAGCAGAACTAACTTCAGTAGGAAGTGAGCCATCAGGATTTCTTCACAAGTTGTTTAGTTGTCTGCCTCGACAAAGTGGTTTATAACTGATAGCTTCCTTCAATTTTTGAGTCATTGGTTCCACACAAACTTATATTGGCTATTTCGTTGCCTGACTTACTACCTTGCGATTGTTTACTATCTTTCTTATTGAGTATACGTCTGTAAACCCATCGACTTCTGATTGATGTGAAAGCCAAGTTCCTGAGAATTATCTGGTATTCCTTGGGTTCACTCGATTTAACATTTGCAAACTTTCAAACTCGAACTCATTTTCATAGTCTTCTACATGCATTATTTGTCGTGCTTTTTAATCACTAACTGATGTTCGCCTAAATGAATTAGATGAAGGCAACCACTTTACTAAATGTGGTGCTGATCGAAGTTCCTGCCGTTGATTCTGTAAATAGAATTCGGTTTATGTTCTTCAACTGTTGTCTTTATTCAGTCTGCATACCTTAATTCCGGGGGGGAATTTGTGGGTTTATGAGCAGCATTACTTTTAAACTGTCTTAGTAGTCTTTTCATGATTTCTGATATTTTTTCATTTGAGATAAGATAGTCCGTTTGTTGGTATCCTTGGATGGCTTAGCAGTTGATGGTGAATTAGACAAACACCTGAAATTGCCTCAGTAACGGTTCTTTGCGATTTTTCACTGAGGTGGTTGAATTGCAATGCGTCTTCGCTCTTATGAAAAGATAGAACTAATTTTGAGTTAGTCATTCAGGATCAACATAGGCCTTGGCGTTACTTCATAACAAACTAAACTGCCACACCTCATATCAGAACATCGGTTGGAAATGAATCAAGATAGAACGATAAAAAATGAAAAACAAAGTAGTCAAAGTGTCAGCAATGCATAAAAATAGGACGGGGAGGCACGAGGCAATAATGAAACCGGCATGACAGTTAAGATGAAGATAATGTGTGGATTCATAAGTACCGCCTGGATATATTCTAAGCCACGTTACCTAGAGTTCCCGGCCACTTGCTTCCGTTATCGCATAGACCCCGACTGGGGAATTAACATTTCCATGAGTAACTCAGACTGACATCCGAAGACTCAGTGAGCTGATGCGGTGTTTTAGTTTGACGTCGTCTAATGTTTTTCCAGTCTAAACCTACACCAGTCAACAATATGTGACGACGCAGATAGTGATTGGCTGCCTGAGTAGATGAAAGTTCATAACCCCATTGACTGGCTTATCTCTCCTGCTCAAAACTCTACACCTGACTTCTGCATTTAGGGAGAGAGAGAAAGAGAGACACGCTCAGCCACCTTATTCACTTTCGTGCAGTAGGCAATTAGCCACATTTGTTGTGTGAGGGCTAGTGATACTACCTGGCTGTCCAAACCTAGGTAGGTGGAGCGGATTTTGAACCCGTAACCCATCTGTTGACAGTCATCTCCCAAACTACTGACCTGCAGCCCTACACCTCTACATTGCTGACATGGTGACACTACGACACACGGCCTGTCCTACTAAGGTAGCTGGTCAAATACCTGAAACCTTATGTCCCTTACTTGAAGTGACCGTGTTTCACATCCACATAGTAGGACACGGTGAACCGCAGAACACGTCACTCGGCCCTCAGTAGGCGATCAGATACAGTGGTAGTGCCATAAGTGGCGTGAGTTGTCGAAATGTTAGCGAGCCTTTGTGTTCATGCAAAAGTTTCGTCGGTCACTGACTTACCAGAGCTGATCCGACTTCCCAGGCAGGTGAGAAGGTTGGCGGATTCAACCGTTTCACTTCCTGCTGTTAGAAAAGGCACCACTGAAGACCGATCTTGAACTAACTGTTTGCATTTGTGCTGAAAAATGCATCCCAAACATTTTCAAATTACCGCTCAATGAATCAAAAAGATTGCATCTTTGCAGGGTTTTCACTTAAAAGGATTATGTTATCTGCATACTCTAAATCTACGAAGGATTCTTCTGAGATAAGATCGATTCCTGTGGAATAAAACGATGACAGAGATTTTCGTATAAGAGTGGTGATTCGTTAAATAATATTATATCATTGTATACTTTATTGAACAAGCAAAGTAATGTGGAAGTAAATTATCAGATTTGATTAGAATTCAACTTTGTTCATTTTTCTTTTCAAGCTTCCCATACGAACTGGGATACATACTGCTCAATCAACACAAAATATGGAAAGAAATAAAGAATGTTTAGTGAATGTTAGCAAGTATAAATTTTCACTTGTTATATCAGGATTAACTAAAATGCTTCAAAATATTGACAGTATGGTAAGTTCATAGACTAGTTATACAGATATTCATTTCCATTTCATGTTAATTCAATAAAAATAGCAAGTCTACGGACCAGATGCAGAAAGAAATTTTTGTGATTCACTTCTTATTGTATTGGAAACATTAGAAAAATGTCTTACATGTGTATGTTTACATGTATATGTATATAAACTAATTAATAAATAAATTTTTTAGCAACCTCATGATACATCTCGATTAGATGAAACTATTTTAGTGAAAAATTTACTTCAAGAACTATTCAGAGTACGTAATCTTGTATTGAATGTAAGTTTATTTATAATTATTTGTATTTTATACTTGAATTTAGTTTATGCATTTAACAAGTGATAATGGAAAAATGTATAATCAGCTATTATTACTGGTCTCACAAGTATTGTATGCTTTAAGTACTCAATATTTTAATGCTGTATTCAATCGAATACCGAATTGGTAAGTATACTTCAGATTTGTTCATATTTTATTTTATTTTCTCTTAATGTTACTATGATCTCTAGATAAGCAAGGTTGACTTTAAATAACCCATCTAATTCCAATAAGTTACTGAGTTATGCATACTGATTAGTCACTGGAGAGTAAGCAACTTGAGTGCAGGCCGAATTCTATCGAGCATATTTGTAATGTGACCAGCAGACAAGGCAGCTCAGCATCATGATGCATTTTGATAGATGTTAGTTAGATGGTGGTAATCAGCACGAGGCTGTCGACCAAGGTTCCCTATTTGTTGGCACTCATGAGCAAGGCGTGTTTGCAACCACGACGGAACTGATGTCCCACCTGAGATTCAAACCCGCATCACACAGTGCTGCAGTCAGAGACGTTACCACTGAGCTATTAGAGCAGCGACTAACCTCCTGTAGAACAAAATTAGTCACACTGATTGATCACTGGAGAGCGACCAACTTTGTGTTTTCTAGTCCTAAGTGCTGATCGAATTTTATCTATCAGTTTTGCAGGGCTTCTTGCCAGTTGCCTCCATCCAACTGAATTAAGCATAATTTGTTAGTCAGTTTTGTTTGTTTTGTTTTTTTTTACCACATTTCATCTTCATTTTGTTTGATAGATTAGACCAATTTACTTCACATAACACACTGTAATATATCATTAGTCACTGGATGACACCTCAAGCATCATCGTCATCATTATCAACATAGGACCAGGCATTACTGCGTAACGGTCCGAGTTGCCACACCTCACGTCAGTTCATCAAGTAGAAAGGTAGTGAGGTGAAGGATGAAGATAAGTGAATGCAGTCAAAAGAAATATAAAGTACAAGAAGAAAGGAAAGAGGAGTGACAAAATGGTGAGATTCGGTATAGCGTTGTTAAGATGAGGATAATGTGTGTATACATCTGCGCCACTGACATCGGTTCTGAGCCATATCACCTAGGGTCTCCAACCACTGGTTCCTCTTGTCCCGTGGACCCCAACCACCTAGTCTGCATCGTCCTACATGGCTTAAACCAATAGTCAGAGACTTCATACATTGGTACCATGTTTTAGTCTGGCCACCTCGAGCCTTTTTCCAGCCTGGACCCACCTCAGCCAACATTGTGTGACGAGGCACTCAGTGACTAGGCATAGGTAGTACGTGTCCCAAGCAGCCATCTCAGTCGATGAAGGTTCACAACCATGTCAACTGACTTACCTCTTCTCCCTAAAACTTTACACCTGACTTCTGCATTACTCACGTGGTGACACCACGGAATGCGTCCTATACTACGAAGGCAACAGTGGTCAAACACCTGAAGCCTTTTTATATCTTCCACTTTCAGTGGCCATGTTTCACAGTCATACAGTAGAACAGATGGGACTGCTGTGCAGTACACGCGACCGTTGATTGACAAACGGACTTCACGGCGGCGCCATAGGTGGCGCAAATTGGCAAAAGCCAATCGAGTCTTTTGTATCCGTGCAGAAATCTCATCGGCCACTGAGCCACCAGGGCTGATCCTACTTCCCAGGTAAGTGAAGTGGTCAACACACTCAACCGCTTCACGCTCTATTGTTAGCCGCGGTGGGGCACCGCTGAAGACCAGTCCTGGAGCAAACATTTGCATTGGGTGGTGAGAAACGCATCCCAAACATTCTGAAATTGCCACTGAAAGTGTTCAGAAGACTCTGCATCTTGTCAGCGTCTTCACCTAATAGGACTATATCATCTGCATATTGTAGATCTAAAGAAAATTCACCTGTGATTAGGTCAACGTCTGTGTAATTAGGTGACTAGAGGGGAACCTCCATAAGAATATCTATGATAAAATTAAATAAGAATGGAGATAGTAGGCATCGTTAACGGATACCACTTGATTGTACACCTTCAATTTTCTTTCAGTTTAGGAGTTACTACATATATTTGTCCTGAACTCTATACTAAGTTATTCTTTATAGGTCATTTGAATAGAAGGATTGAAAAATGGACATTATTTGTTTTCAGTCGCCCTTCTTTTATGTTAAAGATGTTGTCTTAAAGGATGATTGCATCACACAGATATGGAATATTATGTCCACATGCGCTGATTTTTAACCAGATAACATCAAGAGATGAGGTATGTAGGGTACTCACTCACTCACTCACTCACTCACTCACTCACTCACTCACTCACTCACTCACTCACTCACTCACTCACTCACTCACTCACTCACTCACTCACTCACTCACTCACTCACTCACTCACTCACTCACTCACTCACTCACTCACTCACTCACTCACTCACTCACTCACTCTCATTTTAAGAATATTGTTTCTGTTGACCAAGTGAAAATCCTCTTTAACTGGAATTGGTGTGGAGTTTTCATACATGAATTTCTTTTTATGAATTTGAAAAAAAGCCTGAATAACAATGAAAGGAAGATGAAAGGGATAGATTTTATTTCAATGGTATCTTCTTTTCAACTGCTTACAACTCTTAGAATATCAAAATATATAGTTTTACTTTATTTCAATGAAAGAGAATAGAATGTCAGTCAGTGGTTAAGACACACAGAAATAATCGTATTGTAAAGGTCAGTCATAACGGCAAATTCAAGGAAGGTCAATAAATGGTAGCCAATTGTCACAATTATAAACATAATCCAATATAAGTTTCTGGAATATAAATAACCACTATAGTAGCAATTCAAACAGTGGGACTTAGTGTATTATAAGATTACTTAGGTAGGTAAATAAGCAAAACATGCAAAATATTGTGAGTTAAGCTTAGTTAGTTAAGAAAACTTCTATAGGAACAGAAGATGATACAATTAAATAAGAGTGAAGGAATAAACATCTAAGGTAGACAAAAGGTGATGTAACCAAACATCATTCAGGATTAGATCACCAAGGTTGATACAGGTTGACCATCGCTTCTTTTTAAACATATAAATCAAGAGAATTACCTGATGTTGGAGTGCAGAATAAAACGAAGGACAGACGGTGGTTTGGATACTACTGTCTATTGTCTACAGGGTACTGATACATTGTAACAGATATCTAGTCATTTCATCCAATGTCAGTCAGTTAAGGCGGGTTTAGTCAAATGTCTTAATGATAGAGCTTAAAAGCTCACTATCCATTGTAAGGACTTAAACAAAGGATTGAAGCATATAGAAGAAGCGTTACTATCGTGTCATCGTATAAAGAACGAACATCAGAAACTTTACGTAGGATTCTCAACAAGGCTGGAATAAGGGTGGCATTTAAATCTATAAACTCACTGACAGATAAGCTTTGTCGGATGGCTTAAGAATCCAATAGAACCAATGAAGCAAAACAATCTAATCTATCAAATTCCATGTAACGACCGTAAGGCCAAGTACCTGGGTGAAACTAGCCGGTTAGGGTCAGTTAGAATAGGCGAACATAAGAATATAGCTAAATATAAAATGACAGACCTGAATAAAATGAATAATCTAGGAGGGAACTCGGCTATTGCAATGGGGAGAGAGAGGTTGGTTACTGGATCATTGTTCATTAAATCAACTAACACCCAGCATATGTAATAGAGATGACTCTACACCTATGCCAGAGATATAGAAAACTCTTCTACCAATAAAAAAAAGAATATCACCTGACAGGACTATGAAAATGCGATATCAAAAGGAGCATGATCACATTGATATGGTTATGAGCGATGATAGTTTATTCTCGAAACGTCATCGAGTAAATAATACTGTATCACTCTGTGTAGTGGCTATGTCAAATTTAAAAAAATCTAATATGGAATTAAATTCTACCACAATGCTCAGGTTTTACACTTATGCATATCAGTCAGGTTTAAAGAATTTGATAGCTATGACTTCCGAAGACTTCAGAATAATTGAATGTGTTTATTTGTTTACTATCCTGAAGGAAATGAGAACGTTTTCTTGATGTCCAGTGTCAATGAGATACTGAGGGGTTGCACTGTCCAACATGTCACTTCAATTCAGTCGTAGTTTCTTTAGAATATGTTCAGCTAATCTAAGATATGCTCTTCTTTCTGTTTTTCCAATGTATCTGCTTCACCAACTACACATAAATTGAAACATTGAGTTGGATGTTATCCGGGAAGGATACCTGTTGACGTTTTACTGGACTAAAGACCACATAGCTTTGAATAACATTTATTAGTAGCACAAGTACTCACGTAACATGCAACATGTTCAAATATTCTTTGATTCTTGTACACAGATAAGTTTATTTTAGAATTCCGGATGATTTAAGCTTGAATGAATTTTAAAATACATTAATTTTAAAATTTTTGGTTAGCTATTGTTTCAGCTTTATTCAAATTCCTTGATCCTACTTCTTTTCAGTGGTTTGGTCGAACTGTTTAGAGGATTTTGAAAGAGTTCTAGAAAGGAGCTGAATAACTTGATAAATCTTTCAAATTCCTCTAAAGGATTCAACTAAGCCACTTAAAAATGAGTAAGTTCAAGACATTTCGGTATAACTGGAGTACTCGATATCCAGAAACTTAAAAATTAACTCAAGAAATAAGGGTTCACTTGGCATTATAGACAAAAGAAATGAAGTTTATCTATCACTAATGAATAGACAATGTCACAGATAACAATCATGGTATTTAGGTAAACGTGTGAAAATTCGATTTTGTCATTTAACTGATCAGAACGATATTAAAAAAGTAGGATATAAATTATGCTCCATAGAAGAGCAATTGAGATGAGAAATGCTCACGGAAAATTAAAACAAACAATATACATAAGAAAGAACTAGTCAGAGATATTCATTTCAGAAAAATAAATCTCTTGAGATTAATGATGGTTTTATTTTTAAGTTAGTATGCTTCGAGATAGATGTTTCAAAGTACTAATGAGAAGTCGTGACCTATAAATCAACTAGTTGCAGGTGAAGTGGATGCCAATTGAAAACCTTGGTAGATAGTCGTAATGTATCACGAACTGACAGATGTAGGAAACTGTGAATTACTGCTCAACATGTTTGTAGTGAAACATGAAGGTCGTAGGTTCAGTGACTGGTATGATCGTGGGTGCGTACCGTTAAGAAGTCATATACTAGCACGTAACATATGTCCAATGATCCCAAGTTTCCAATGCTTCTCCAACTGATGTCAATCCATGATGAATACTATCTCAAAGATAAATCTGTTTAAGACAGTTAATTTTGTTCTGTTTAATATAAACAACTAAGATTGATTCGCTTAAATGTCTATGTAGTTTCCAAGCATTGATTTCAGATATCCTTTTGGCACCCAACATTTGGCATTGATGTAAATTGTTCTGTTTGACTCCCATTATCATTTCTTTCATTTAAACATTAACATACTGGTAGTCTAAAGGGTGATCGTTTCAAATAATAAATCAGCTTATAAGTGATGTGTTAAATTTACAACCTTGATTAATGTTATTGGTTTTTGTTGGTCAAGTTGGTATTCATCATGGACTGACATCAGGTGCAGGAATATTGGAAACTTTGGAGCACTGGATAGTTGTTTCGTCCTACTAGTATGGGAATCCTAGACAATGTGCACCCATGACCCCACCTCACCTCGCAAGGGATCGAACCCACGATCTTCAGGTTCCATAGCCAGCAAGTTACCATTGAGTTACTGGGCCAGAACCCAATAGTGCGACCTACATCCAATGTCGTCGCTGAGTAACTGTCCTCATGTTTGACTTAGTTGACTCCACTGGTCACGACTTCCCATTGAAACTTCAAGAATCATCTCTCGAAGTCAGTCACCAATGAGCGCTAGATCATTTCTATCTGGAAGTTTTTGGGGGTTTATTAATTGGTTTTAGATTGGAATTTATGATGGACTGACATCAGCTGGAGGAACATTGGAAACCTGGAAGCACTGGACAACAGCTGTATGGGACTCCCCAGATGTGCGCACCCATGACCCCACCTGGCAAGGATTCGAACCCAGGACCGTCAGGTCCTGTGGCCAGCATGCTCTCATTGAGCCACTGGGTGGGAATCCGGTGGTCCATATTTCTTACTTCTGTCAATTCACAACATAGTGCGACCATCACCCAATGCCATCGTTGAGTATTTGTCCTTACATCTACGTTGGTTTGCCACAGAGGTCATGACTTCTCACTGGAATTTCAGTAATCACCTCTCAAAGATAGTCACCAATGAGCACTAGATCAGTTCAATTTAAGAGTTTGTGGGGATTTAGTGATCTTTCAAGCTGATATTCATCATGGACTGACGTCAGTTGGAGAAATATTGGAAACTTGGGATCACTGGACACCTATCTCATCCCCCACTAGAATGGAAGTCCTTTACAGTGCTTGCAACTAAGTCAGACTATTTTAATGGTAGTAACATATCAACAGAAGAAAATGTCTGATAAAGAATTATCCTAGGTCAAGTAAGAAGTGAAATGTTATATAAACTGCAACGTTATATAATCGTGGTATTTATTACCGCACTATGAGAATAAAGAATGGTTAATAATTCTTTGAATAGATGCAAAGTTTCGTTTTCAACAAAACGAATCAGTATGAAGCTTCGTAGGATATTTTATCAAATTAAGCGGTTCCAGATTTCATCAGGTATTCGTCAATATGATAAACAATGATACTTATGAATCAAGCATATATGTACTTTATTCACTCTTTGAAGTGTTTTGAAGCTTGACTATTTTCACTAACTTTCATTTTAAAGATTCTTTCTTCTTTCATACACCTTCGTGTTCTTTGATATCAGTCCTTTTCTATCCACTTTTTCTTTGTATACTGCTGTCAAGTGTAGCAACTTAAACCGATACATTTGTATACGGATTTATCTGTGTGTAGATTTCTTAGTCATCACTTAGTAAATAAAGTTCATCATGAACTGATGCAGTTACTTTTAAGTAGTCTGTTTGATAACCTTTAAAATAACATACTGTCATAAGCAATTTTAGAAACAGATACAAATGTACACATTTGGGAAAATGAATTTATAAACACAATTATTTTATCAGTTTACTTCACCTTGATTGGAGGATTTAAATTCTTCTTCTGAAGTTATACATTAGATGATGATAAGCTATTGGAATGTTTATTACTGACTACCTCATTACATTTAGATTTTAACCAACCTAATAATGAATTTTAAATCCCTTCTACCAGTGTGATCCATTACTTAGAATACTTAAACAGTTTTAATTGAACTATTTCCAGTTAGCATTTATTCAAATTTATCTTAAGATAAGGTATGTTAATGTAGTTTATGTCTTGGGTCTATATTAGTTATTGACAAATTGATAACTTAGAAACACTAAACAGCTGTTTTGTCTTTGGTTAGGACTTCTTAGCACTGCATAAACACACATTCATGACCTTGTGAGAAGTTCAGCCCAAAGTCATCTGGTCTTGAGAGTTGAAGAATCAAAAATCCGTACTTAAAAATAAATTTTGATAATTCCATTGAGTTCAATCAGTTCCTACAAATGGTCATTATCATAAAAAATTTTTTTATTTCTTGGCACCAATACAAGTATTTGAAAGTTCAAATGTAAATTATTCGACGTAAATTCATTAATTGAATGGCTTTTAAGTTGGCATTCATTGAGGATTGGCATCAGCTAGAGAAGTATTTAAAATCTGGGGGCACTGGACAGATATTTCGTCCTAGTATGGGGCTCCTCAACAATTTGCATCGATGACCCTGCAAGGAGTCGAATCCAGGATCTTCAGGTTTCGTGGTGAGCACGTTACCACTAAGTTACTCGGTCGGAATCCAGTAGTCTAGAGTATCCCACTTCTGTCATTTCGCGATATAGCACAACCTTCATTCAATACCGTCAGTGAGTACTTGTCCTCACGTCAGAATTCGTTTACCCCACTGGTTACGACTTCTCGTTAAAACTTAGGTAAATCTCATGTCACTAATTAATATTGACAGTGATTCAATTTGGAGGTTTGTTGGAGACTTGTCGATTTCATTTTGGCTTTTAGTGGGTGATGTTAACTAGCGGAAGATGCCATTCGATAATATCTTGACTAGTTTTAGTCAGATTACACTTCATTAGATAAACACCGGATTTCACGAATACATAACAATACCATTTTATAGTGAGGATACTGTGATGTCATGTTGCTATGCTACTACAACAAACAGAGTATCAGATTATCAGATTTCAGTTAGATACTTTGAAAAGTTGTATTTCACACTTTAAATTTATCCAAGAACAGTGATTAACTTGTTTTCGAATGAGTTAAATCGTTTTCTTGTGCTTAGATTGGTCTTGGTGGCTAGCAGAGGAATCCAAGATACACGTTTTGGCCTGTCTGGGACTTGTCAGCTGGGTGTACCTGCACCCCAGTAAGTGATATTTTTCCCACCGAGGCTCGAACCCAGTACCCTTCGCTTATAAAGCCAGTGGCCTAGTGGATAACTCTCTGGCGTTCTAAGCGAAGGGTACTTGGTTCGAGTCGGTGAGAACAAAATCATTCCGCGCTGGGGTGCAGATACATCCAGCTAACGAGTCCCAAGTAGAATGAAACCCGCGTCATGGATTTCTGTGCTAGTCACCAAGATCAATATAACATCATGAATATTCAGCAATATCAAGGCATCCGCACAGGAGCCTATCTGCCAACAGAGGTTGAGCAATTTTTGTGCTTATTTTATTTCGATATAACCAATTAGTTGTACATGATCTTAATCTCATCATTATTGGCCAGTATTACTAAATAGTAGTGTATGATGAATTTCTCTTGGATGATTTTATAACAGTCTATATTGAATTCATTACATACTTTCTGTCTTACACAATAGTTTAGCTCTGGCTGCACAAGATGAATCCAATGTTGATCAAGCTAATGAATTGGAATTGATTCAACACTTGAATTTAGATATGCGTAAATTATCACGACTTATAGTTGGTAAGTTTATAATCTTTTAAAGTGTAATCATTTTCATTATTTGTTAAATAGAAATTTGTAATCGGTTCAGATCTTTAAAAAAGTCAACTTGGTTACATCTTGCAGTTTATTTAGAAAGGGTAAGTTACACTAATGCTTCTACTAATTTATGATCAAATTATAACTGTTTTTTTTCTAAATGATTTTATAATAAGTGAGCAAATTTTAGAAATATTTTTCAATATGCATTGATTGATATCAATTAGTGTCATTCACTGAAAATTATAAATAAAACCATAAAACAAAATATTAATTTTCATTATAGGATTCTACACTGGAATTCTTAGTGAACACTTTTGAAAATAAAGTCCAACTGTAATGATCGGTGATTGCAGAGTAAACGAATTTCATGTTGTCTAATCCTGGGTTTTGAATGAATTCCCTCGATCATGCAGTTTCGCCTCCAAGCTAGGAAGCTTATCATTATGATGCAATTTGATGGGTTTTAGTTGATTGGAGGCAATCGTCAGGCAGCCGTGTTTACCCCAGGTTTCGTTCTTGTTGCGACTCGTCAGCAAAGTGTATCTACCACCTCGAAGTAACTGATACCTCCTGCGGGATTCAAACACGTACCACCCAGTGTTACAGTCAACGACTCTACCACTGAGAGGATATCAGTTCTGGCTTACAGGAGGTCAGTCGTGGACCGAATAGCTCAGTGGTAAAGTCGCTGACTACAACACTAGGTGACGAGTGTTCGATTCTCAGGTGGGACATCAGTTCCGTCGAGGTTGCAGATACGCCTTGTTGACGAGTGCCAAAAAGCACGAAACCTAGGTCCAGGGCTTCCTGCCGATTGCCTCCAACCAACTAACAGGATATCAGTTCTTTTGACGGGTGCCAACAACCACGAAACCTTGGTGCAGGGCTTCTTGTTGATTGTCTCTTCAACCAACTAAAAACCCGACTGTCTTCAGATTTCAGATAACATTATAGTTTAACCACTAATTTAGAATTTATTTGTTATCATTCACTGATTTTAATCGATTTCTACCACAGAAGTACTATTCACTGGTGACTATAGGATAGGAAATCCAACCTATATTCCGTTACCAATGTCCTTCTGTCAAAAGTTTCAGAATTTTCTCCGAACAGTAATATGTTATAAGAACAAGACTATTTGTTAAAGGACCTTCATAAACTCGAACAACGATTGATAGTCATAGATGATATTGGGAAACGATCACATGACTCTATCAGCCGGTTTCCGATGAAATAATTAACCAGTCAAATTGTACTTACTGGTTAAGAAGTGATGCCTTCAGATTTCGGTGTTGGTCCCATAGATTTAGAGGCTGCATGCATCTAATATGCATCAATTATTTGGTGGTCTTTCGTTTCCCTCAAATGCTTGTGCATTTTAATGTCTACCCCTAAGTTAATTAAATCTAACCATATATAAATGTAGTCAAACATTTTTGCTCGAACAGAGGTACTTCAATGAAAGAATCCGTGTTTGGTAGTTTATGATATTTGATGCATAACACCACCTTCATATCTGTTCTAGTTACACTATTTTATCAATAAAATAAATTTCCTCTAGCTTTACCAACTAGATGAACTTCAACTATGATACAAAAAGAAGTAAAATGACTTCACACTTTAATTTTCTGTCGTATTCCTCATCTAAAAGTTTCTATTTTGAGGTTCTGCTTTCCAAGGTCAACATTAGAAGTTAGTGCCTTGAAGACAATACTTAAAACATCTAAAATATGAAGTATACTTCGTTGAAATCAAACTTCTATTATCATAGGTCGTTCAGGTGATGTAAAAAAAAGAATCATTACGGGAACGTAACTATTTTAATGGTTTCCGATACATCTTGTTGACTGCCAACATTCAAGAAACCTAGGTCTAAGACACCTAGAAGGTAAGCAGAAGCCATTTATCATGTGATTTTGGCAACTCATTTACATCCAACATTAAAGTAAGGTCGAGCATGGAATTCCATTCCATGCTTACTTCTTTGCCAAAAATGAATTCAAAAATCTAACAGGAGATTAGATATATCAAGAATTTGGAACCTCTAATCTCCATTACTATAAAACTATTTCAAAGTAGTACATTTGTCTTTGTTAAACTTCCTCGTAGATATACATGAATAAGTAGGAAATACCTGAGTAAATGATTCTATGAACTAAGTTACTTATAAGTGATAAAACTGTGGTATGATGATTTTTACCTGTAAAAGAAAACTATAGGATGATAAAATGAGTTACTTTATAGTTTTCCAGGTGACTTTCGCCAGTATAGCATCATTCAACTGCATACTTTTGTATTTCATGTAAATGAAAGTCTATGCAATGGACTTGAAGTGGATTTTTCTACAGTGGTACAGGGTTACTTGAATATGCTACTACATTTTACACATTTACTTCATAGATATTTTTAAGTTTACTAATATTTACCTGGACGGACCAGGGTAAGGTTGACCATATCTATAAATTCTATTTATACCATTATTCAAACAGTTATTGAGATATCACACTTTATAGAAGTATTTCTCTCTTACTACATCTCTCTGTACTACTCTGGCACAAATTTAGATCTTCAAGTTTAAAACTACCTAAAAATTATTCAAAAGCAGATTATTTACGTAATTTTTTCATCTTCAACTGTTTGCATTCTAGTTATATGAAGCCTTCGTTTCTTATTCATTCGTGTTGGTACAAATGTCACTTCACTGAGCACCAGAATTAGTAATCTCCACAACGTCATAGCACAACAGGTGGCTATCATACCTCAGTGACTTAGTGAATAATGCTCTGGCATTTGAAGCGAAGGGTACTGGATTCGAGCCTCTGTGAGGACAACATCACTCACCGGTGTGCAGGTACACCCAGCTGATGAGTCCCAAACCAGACAAGACGCTTATCCTAGATTCATCTGCTAGTCACCGAGATCAATATAATCTCTATAACGTCGTTGGAATAGGATTATATATATATGCAATATAGGACAGCTATCATTTATCGTCTAGGGAAAGGAGACTGCTGAATTCCAACCGGATAGTTGGACTGAAACACGCTTACTAAGAGACCTGAACTTCAATTTTCACGAGGCTGTGGATAGCTGAAAAATCCTAAACTAAGACAAAATAACTGTTCAATGCTTTCACACTATCACTGGTTCTCTGGATGATTTCACTCAGAGATAGAAACTACTATCTTTTACATGCACATATATAGGTCAGTGGTGCTTTAGTTTATACGTTGTAGATGTTTTAAGGAAGTTAATTATTAATGGACTTTTACCACACATTGAACTGTTGACATCATTATTTTCACCCTTAATGGCATTCATCAAAATTCAATATTTTAAAGGCTATTTGGAACTGGTTAGAGAATTATCCCCAAGAATTTGATGATTTGCAAAAGAAACCGAATGATGAATTAGCCGGTAAGTCTATGCATCTAATAATAACATTCGTTTAAGCCAAGGCTCATGAATAAGGTCTACCGAGTGAAATGTTTCTCGTTTCTCCTGACTGATTACACTTTTTCCAAATAGCTATTGGGAACATTTCGATTATGAAATGATGGAAGGGATGTGTAGCTCAAGGTAAAGCTGGTAATGGTTTGGTGTTTTGTCGTGGAAGTTTCATCATTAGGCTTGATGATATCCTCAGCACTATCTTTAGGATGAAGTGAAGCATATTCAGAAATGTTATGCGAAGGTTTAGGCTGATCATGAGTGTTGTTCAATTATAAGTTAGGGAAGAGGTTTCGATCACACCTTGACCTATGACTTTAAATCTCACCCAGTCTCACTCGTAGAGAATCTTTGTTAGAGTGGGACTATGCTGTTTGCATTGTGTATCATTATTGATTTATTTGGTCAATTTACACTTTGTTGATGGATGGCCGTTTTCTGCCTAAGTAGACTATAGATTGGGGTGTTTTTAGAAACCGTTTTACAACTTATGAAACTGCTCCTTGGAGGATTTCTACATTCTCCCAGTCGAGGTTGCAATTTTGATTGTCTGTGTACATTGAAAACAAGGAGGTCGCATCGTATCCCCTTACTACTACTTGGTGTTCATGAATTCTTTGAGCGATTAGATGGCTAGACTGACTGACATAGTGTTGTAAACAATCTTTACAGTCAATTCTGTAGATTGTATTCGTCGTGTCCTTGTTTGACAACAGGTCCTTTGGTTTACACAACAAGCTGTGTAGTGATTTCGTTGGTTTGTGTACCACTCCGATTTCAAACAGATGAAGATGTCGGTTAACTATCTCTGAGATATCTTTGATATAGGACAGTGCAACATGCCTGTTGATCTAAGGCAATTGCACAATCCTCTGATAGACATTTTTGATAAAGTTGTGTGAATGATCACCGGCTTTGAGTTCTTTGTACACATATTTTCCTTTGGCTTTCTATAGGGCTTTTATAGTGCTGAAATTTCTTTTGCGTTTTAAGACAGATGTTTAAAAACAACATTTCTTCTGGACTGTATGATGATTACTGTTATAGTGAAGCGTTCACGACACAATATCAAAGCTCAGAGAACACCTAACAACCAACATTTTGATAATTTATGGCCTTTACTATTGAATAATGCTAAAAATTTGACGTGAAGACGTATCTTAGAAAATATTAATCAATGGTAATGCAAACAGAAAAACCAATTTTTTTTATTTATTGTATTTTTTCGTAGTCATATTTGTATGGTAATATTGTTCACAAATTTGTGTGAGAAAAGTAGTGGTTTTATGAACCTAATTTATAGTTTTCCTAAATAAAGTTTTGAAAAATTTTTAAACAATCATAATGCTTTAGTATATGTGAGGGGATGTCTTATAAACGCATACTCATACTCATCAGTACTCTTGTAAAGGATGAATACAAGGATTACGTTAGAGTATCAGAACTGACTGACTGATAAAATCAACGTAGAACCTCTCATACAAGTCCATCACTCCAACTGGCCATACCTCACAGTAGTACACAAAGAATAGGTGGATAGTATAAGATTGATATCAAAGTAGACAAAGTTGTGTGAGAGCATAAACAATTTGAAGATAAACGTTAGTGCAAACATTCAAGCTTTAGAAAACGTCAGGGTGGGAATACATCTACACCATTGTGACTGATTCTTAGCCATGTCATCAAGAGTCCTCAACCACTGATTGCTAAAGTCTCGAGAAGTCTGGCCAGGCAGCTTACATCTCCCCACGCAACGCAGACCAACAGTAAGAGACTTCATGGACTGGTACCTTGTATTCATCTTGCTACCATGAACCCTGTTCCAACCTAATTCAACTTCCTCTAGCATGGCACATTGAGGTAGGTGGTGGCTAGGCATGCACAGTACATGTCCAAGCCATCTCAGTCGACTAAGGTTCACAACCCCATCAATCGACTTGCCTACCTTGCCTAGTACTTTTCACTTTACCTCAACATTACTCACACGTTGATTTGACCGAACGCGAGAAATGCTATATATATATATGTATATATATATATATATATATATATATATATATATATATATACTGCAGTGCAGTATACTCATCCTCTGATAGATAGCTGAATATCTCGCCAGTCGGCGCCACAGATGACCCAAGTTGGCAAATGTTAAATGCGGTTTCTGTATTCTAGTTGAGATTTCGTCATGAACCAATCCGTTCCAGTTGATGCAACTTTCTAGGTAAGTGAAGTGGTCGACACTTTCCAACACTTCACTCCCTATCAATAAACTAGGGATCGTTTCACACTAATCTTGGAGCATCGTCTGACATTTGACAGGTGCTAGTCTGACGCATAACAAACACACTCAGATTTTTTTTATCAGTGTTCAGAAGACCCTGCATTTTGTCAGCATCTTCACTTACCTGGACAACATTGTCTGCATACTCCAAGTCAACCAGGTTAAGTTATGTGATGTCAGACATACCTAAGGTTACCTCCATTGCTACATCTATGACGAAACTAACTAGGAATGGTGACATGGGACATCCTTGACGGACACCATTAGTTGTTGTATCCGAAAAGTATTATGGTATCAGTGGTTAGTTATAGTTGGCTGTAACTATAGCCTAACGAGAAAATAGACTCGAGAAATACTAAATTTAATGATATAGCCATTGTTATTATTCATTACGAAAGCGAACAATATCAGCTGTGAATGAATTAGAGTAGTTGGGTTTTGTGAATTTGAATTGCATACTGACAATTATCATATAGTTAGGCAGAAAGTTAGGATGTGACAAGCTTGAAGTGTCAAAACAGGAAGCCTTAAAGAGGTTTTTCTCATCATCAACAGAGCAGTTTCGTTCATTGTTTGTTTCAGTTCATAGGAAAAGGGAAAAAACCATACTTTTAGTAACTACATCATAAATCTATTTGACTGTAGCATTTTCTCAACAGTTGCAAGAAGTTTGACAGGTAAGTTGAAATTGATTTCAGATCATACTGAAGGTATGGTGGTTAGATACTCACCTCTTAGAGAAATTCACAATATGCATTCCCTCTGTGTTTTTCAAGATTATTCATAACTCCTTTAGTATGCATTTGACGTTTGAAGCTTATTTAACCAAGCGATATACCCAGGAAATATGCCAGGCACAAATTATACAAGAATGTACAATCCAACATATGGCAGTGAATAATAAATTTTGTCTGTGAAAATATCACCTTAAACCATGTTATTTCACTGTGGAATGCATAAAGTAAACAAACTAACTCTTCTACCACTCTTATTAACTTACAAAATATGCCACTGTTTCAAACAGAAATGACCGTTTATTCAATGAAGTAACAAACTAATATGAATTTCAATCAAAACCTAACAGAGATCGAGCGATTCAGCCCTGTATAGCAACGGGAAATCACAAGTATCATTACAACAACTGACACCCGTTGCACAGGAGGTGGCTATCATGCCTCAGTGGCCTAGTAGATAACGCTCTAGCGTTTGAGGCGATGAATAAGAAGTCCGAGTCTCAGTGAGAACAATATCACTCCGCACTGGGGTGCAGGTACACCCACCTGACGAGTCTCAAACAGGACGAAACGCGCATGCTGGATTCCTCTGCTATTCACCAAGATCATAAATCTAAACTGAATAATATTCTACCATAGTGTTATTGTTTTACTGTTGTTCTTATACGCAAACTAACATAGCACTTTATCAACAGATGTATAATAAGAAGTTGAGAAAATCATGAATGAGATGTTGATACCTGTGGGAGATAAGGAGGGCAAAACAGTGATGAAGTGGGTTGACGTTGACTTGGAAAGTTGTATGTTGTTGAAAATCTGAGGATATACGCAGGATGAAATGTGAAATCTTTAGAAAGTGAAAAGGTATTGAGTAACCACAAAACCCAAGGACAGATGCTGAAAGCTGTTTACGTATGGTATTTTCTTAAAATTTTTTATCAGTTAAAAAGTTGCGTTCATCCCTGTAGGAATGCCATCAGCTAAGAGCCCAAGTACAAGATTACACGTAGAACTTTGGAAAGATCTATCTTCATTGGATTCTTCGTAGTAAAAGGAAACAACATAAGTAGGGAATACTTATCTATACATCACTATTGAATTCTTAAGTAGCTAGGTTCTATGTGTTATTCAATTTTAACTCATGTTACCTTTATTACCTTTTCTTCTTTATGGTGATTGAAATCATGACGAACTACTCTGTTATACTAATGCATAGCTTTTTACTTTGTTCTGGCCAGCCAGCCTATGGTTGCATTCTATGTGACTAGAATGATAACAGTGTTGCTTTTGACACTTTTAATTCCTTTGTTGCTGTACAAGGCTGAATGGCTCAACTTCTGTTGGTTAATGGGCTGCTATGTGGATGTCTCGATACTCCCTGGTTACTTATTATTGCTGTCTGCTCAGTGGATAGCAGTGGAATCCAAGACGCCCTATTTGGGACTCGTCGACTGGATGTACTTGCACCCCAGTGAGTGATGTTGTTGCCCCTGAGGCCTGGACCCAGTACCCTTCGCTTCAAACTCCAGACAACTATCTAGTAAGCTATCGTGCCCCAGTGGCTTAGTGGATAACGGTTTTTTGTTTAAAGCGATACTAGGTCCGAGTCTTACTGGGAACAACGTCACTCACCGGGGTGCAGGTCCATCCAGCTGATGAGTCCCAAATCGGACGAAATGCACATTTTTAATTCTACTACTGACCGCCAAGCAGACATCAGGATAATGATAAAAAGGGTTTTTATCTTTTCCTATCCCTAAAACATGGTTTCATGTGCATAATTTCTCATAGTTGAGGAGTCTTAGTGACACTGTTGACGTAGATGTATTCACTTCTTGACGTCTTCTAATACTTGAATATTTGCACTAACCGTTATCTTTAAACTGCTTATTCTCTCACATAAACTTTGTCTACTTTGATATCACTCCTATTCTATCCATTTGTTCTTTGAATGCTACTATGAGTTGTGGCAACTAGAATCAATACACTTGCGTGCGAGGTTCTAAGGTGACCTTAAAGGTACCCCGGCAACTGGTGGAACAGCCAACCAAGTTTCGATATTTCAGCTAGGAAGTTAGATTTTCATAAAATAACAGAACCATAATTGTTTGTCCTAATGGTTGCTAGGGTGGCCTTTAAAGTCATTCAGGTTCTATGTAGATTTTGTCTGACATACAAGTATGCCTGTATGGTAGATTCTTTAAATGTAGAACTTAGTGACGAGGGGTTTGCCTCTCTGAGGCGGAATCAGTTCCCTTAAGGTTGCAGATAAACCTGCTGATAAGTACCAACAAGTATGAAATATGGATTCAGAACTTCCAACCAATTGCCTCCAATCATATATATATATATATATATATATATATATATATATATATATATATATATATATATATATATAAAGTGATTATTTATTTTAATATGACATTTCCTCTAGCCACTTTCTCTCTCTCTCCCTTTGAATAAAGATTGTTGTGAACGTCTATTTGATTTGTTCTCATCACTTTGCGCTGAGAGTGGTCGAAAAAAAGTTCTTGTCTGGCCATTGCAAATGATGCTTTTAGTACTTTGTCCAAAAATTCTAGAAGAGATTAATAATGCTGAAAATGGTGCACCATTATCCCCAGAACATCAAAAAAAGAAACAATTTCTAGATGAAGTAAGTACAGTTTATTGACTGTTTTTCTTCTTTTCTTCTATCTTTGATAACAATACGATTAATTTTAGTACAGTGCTAGTGAGTAAAATAATTTGGTAGCTGCTTCAACACTACGGAGGGCCACAAACCTTTATCAACCTCATTCAACAGCAATGTGACGATGCTACATGCCAAGTGATTCACAATAGAAAGCTCAGTGATGCCTTCGAAGTGAAGAGAGGAATGAGTAAGACAAGGTTGCCTACTGTCACTGATGATCTTCCTAATTGTGGTCGACTGGAATGAACTGGATCATGCAACAAACTGTGAGGAGTGAGAAGATGGGCATGCTCTACTTGAACGATGAAAAGACCCTAGAAGATTTGGATTTCGCGGATGATGATTTATATATAATGTCACACAAACTCGAGGATCTACAGGCGCAAACTAACAAGTTGACAGGAGAGGTAGGGCAGCGAAGACGGTATTTCTTTCAGGTGAACGTACAGAATACAGAGGTGATAAAGATACCCAATCAACGACAATAACAACAACCACAACAACGAGCACCAATCACCATCAATGGGAGAAATTTAAAGGAAGTTATACCTTTCACCTACCTACCTGGACAGCGTCGTCTCAACTACAGGCGGCACAGGTGACGATGTCAAAGCCAGGATCGAAAAGATAGCAAGACAGACCTTCCTTCATTAATCTGAAATAATCAGTTTAGAGATCTATTGCACTACACTGTACTGCATTAAGCATAAAGCGTGAACAATATCCGGATTTTCAACACTAAGTCAGTCAAGTAAGTCAGTGCTTCTATGTGGTGGTTGAGAGATCTGGCACGTTAAGAAAAGCATTTCCAACAAACTGCAGACATACATCATCAACAGCTGCCGCCTACACTCACTTGATTCTGAAGGTCAGGTGACAAGAATAATAAGAATAAGGAACTGTGGCAGGAAACAAACCAACCGACTAAGAACTTACCGCTCAAAAAATATGTAGCGGAAAGTGGAGATGGATTGGATAGGACATACAGCGAGAAGACGGGTTAGGGACATCTCGCACCAGACAAGGCTGTGGAGTGGAAGCCAAATGGGAAACGACGAGTTTGGCGTCTGAGGTGAGGGTGACATGGAAAAGATCGTGTGAGGAAGAAGTGAAGTCTTGTGGGCAGTGGTGGAGCCAGGTCCAAAAGAGTGGAGAGAAGAGAGTGAAGTTGCGACGTCCTAGTGAAGCCCTATGTTCGACTAGGAACTTAAGGGACAAAAATAATAACAATACAGTTCTAGTCAATGGATTCAAATCCAATCAGCCAAAGACAACTGATTAATATACAGTGTAAAAACGTCAAGCATAATTAGTGGCTGCATCATAAAACCGTATACAGAATAGGAGTGATCATTTATGTGAAATAGGTTTTGCTAGTAGTATCTAATGACACTGGCATGCTTTTAATCGAAATAAGAGAATGTGGAATGACTGAATTTTAGCTTCTCTGTCTTCCATATGTTAACAATGAAACTGAAATGGTGGAGAATATTGGTAGCTCAGATGGATGGTCTTGGTTGTATTGTGTTCTCTGAGCTTACAGAACACAACTAAAATTATCAAAACGAATCAAACGAATATCCTGTAATGGATAAGTTTAATTGATTGTCTTGAAAGACATACAATAAACTTACATAATAATAATAGTCACTATATGCAACTGTACATTCAATGAAAACCATCTTACTGTTCCAAAGTCAATAATCTGGTATTCAGAGGTACAACTTTAAAGTGAGAATTTCATTTTCAAGTGATGGAAACAGCTCTTAGTAATCGAATTTTTAATAGCAAAGATTTTTATCATAACCACAAGAATTGTTGATCTTCGTGAGGAGATAAAGTAACCCTAATCACCAGTAGAGTATCATTTTAGTTTATCTTTTACTGTATTTATTTTCCATACAAGCTTAGCTTGAGTCCACTATACTACTGAATTGAAAACAAATAGTTTTTTATAATCTATATATTTATGATATAGCCACAGGCCGTTATTAAGGAAAACTATTGTGTCACTGTGTTTAAACGGCTTACATGATGTCTTCAGATATATTACATGATGAGACTTTTATTTGGATAGAATAGGATATAATTTTGAAAATCTGACACTAGCAGTTGAGTGTGTAAAACGAATTCTACAGGAAAAGCAGTTAAAAGGAAAACATATTTTATTATGGTAATTTACTTGATGGTGCTAGCAGAGGGATCCAGAATGCGCATTTTGTCCCATATAGGACTCGTCAGCTGAGTGTACCTGCGCCCCAGTGCGGAGTGATGTCGTTCTCACTGAGACCCCAACTTCATACCCATCGCTTCAAATGCCGAAGCACCAACTCTTGTACAGTGGGTGTTAGCTATAACTGTTTGTTCATATGCCTGTAATTCTCCGCTGTTATACTGGATCGAATTGTTCGATCTCTGTTGACATATGGGCTCCTATGCAGCTGCCTCGATGTTGCCTGAATACTTATTAAGGTAAGTTACCTGGTTGTGGGTAGCAGAGGAATCCAGGATGAGGGTTTCTTTATATCTGGGACTCATCAGTTGGATGTATCCGCCCCTCAGTGAGCGACTATTCTGTCCAATAAACGGCGAGAAAATGCAAATAACAACATTAAACCTATGCCCGCTGTACAAGAAGTGTCTATCGTTACTCGATGGCCCGCTGGACAACGCTCTGGTACTTGATGCAATCGGCTTTTGGTTCGAGTCTTAGTTAGGACCACAACACTCACTGGGAGACGGGTGCATTCAGTTGACGAGTCGCAAGTAGGACGAAATGCATATCCTGGATTTCACTGCTAGCTACTGGTAGGGAATATCTAGGCATCCACGCAGGAGCCCATATCCGATCTGAGACCGGGGAATTCGGTCAGATCAACGAGAGGATAATTCAAATAACAACACTAATTGTCATTTCTATTTCAGATTCAAGTGGGTAGAGTAATGAATTAGTAATATCGAAGTTTTGTTCAATCCAAATTCGTCCGTAGTTTATGTCATTTGATTACTAATGTAATCTATTTTGGATTCGCGGATACATCTAAGGATATAATCTTTCTATTTTGTTTAAAAACTTATCTTTTTAGGTTCGTAAAGCTCTTGCTTCACATGGCCATGGAAGTAGTGGTAGTAAACCAGCGTTACTAGAGGCTGCATTACTAGCCGCTGTTAATTTATGCAAAGCATCAACGTATATCAATATAAATGATCGAAATAATATTCTCTTCATTCTCGTTCATTCAGTGTATGCAGACTTACAAGTAAGCTTATACATTGATCTTGTTTTTTGTTGTATACGTTGAAGGTAAAAGTGTTTCTCAGAAATTAGCTTTTCATTTTCGTTTTTGCTTATATAACATAGAATGATTGTGTGATAGTACAAATTGAGTAATATATATAGTCTCACTGTTATTCACACAATATTTTTTTCACAGTTTCATTTATGCGAATAAATTATTTCGCGTTAAAGCCTTGAATTGCAATAATAATCGACTGATGATGCTGTATTAGACATCATCAGCGTCTTTGAATAGATGCTTATAGCTTTTAGTATTACTAACCACAATACTCAGTGTTTCACTTCACTGCATTACCATGAAATTATTTTAAGTGACAAATAAACAACGTGATACCATTCAGATTGGTGTAAATGCGTAGAACTTTGAAGGTTGTCGGTATCTTTAAATCTTCTTCTTATAGAAATTGTTGTAGACAAACATCTTAACTCATGTAGACATCTGACAGAAGTTATTTTATCAGATGAGTAGCATCTTCTTGACTCAAAACTCTCTATTTCTAGGTTCTCAGACAATACCAGGAGCAAGTACATGAGGCTTTATGGGCGTACTAATAAATATAAAAACTCTACCATACCGCATTTAACTCGTATCCTGTACGACAAAGTATTACAAATAAACTAACCAATCAACTTTCGCTTTCGAAAACCAGCTTATTAATGAGTACACAGCTTGCTGTTATTTAAGTATTATGAATCTAATTGCTTATGTGCTATCAACCCCTAATTTTACCTGCTTTTTTGTCTATGACCTTAAAATAACCTACGTGACTATTTTCATACCGTTACTATTTTTTCTTCCCTCTGCTCTCAAGGCTGAACTAGCACTGGTGTTAACTATTTTTACCTACATGTAGATTTAATGTTGTCAAGGTCATTTAGAAATATCTTTCAGAATAAAGCCATTAATATTATTGTATTTTGAGGCTAATGGGGATTTTAATTTTCCAACTGATGTCAGTTAGTGATAAATACTACTTTAAAAAATGAATCCCCATTGACGTCAAACTAAATTACTGTACAGTACATACTAGTGACATGCTTCGAGATGGATATCACAAAGTTTTGATGAGTAACCGTGACCTGTGGGTTTAACCAGTTGAAAGTGAAGGGGATGCTAACTTACGATCTTTGATGATAGTCGCGCGATATCGTGGATCGATAGACGTAGAAATCTGTTGACTAGTGGCTGAATGACTAAAGCGTTCGCTCTGAGACCTGATGGTCCTGAGTTAGATCCCTAGCCAAGAGTCATACACAATGGCGAAACAGCTGTCTATTGCTCCCAGGTTTTCAACGGTTTTCCAACTAATATCAGACCGTGATAAACACTAGCTAAAAATTATCATTATTATTACTATGTTAATGAGATCACGGGGAGGTAATACAAGCAGTAGTGGATTATTTTATGTGAATGACAAGTTCAGATCAGTAACCTATTTTACTTTAAAAAATTTTAAGCTATTAAAAGCATATTCTCTTTTCAATGAACCAAGAGATTTTAAACGTCGAGTAGTAATAAAAGATCCACAGTATTTAACACTATTGACGGTTTATGATAATTTCTTATCAATACTAGATGATTATTTAGCGTGAAATGAAAATTTGGATCGCGGCCAGATTAGAACTAGCTACCAACGGGTTTCTGGTTCGGTACCCTACCAACACACCTACGAGGTTCGACTGCTGACCAAATTTTTATTTCACTTCAATCACTAAAGGTTTTACCCGACTACCATGTGAATTCGTAACTCGTTACTACCTTTTAATCTTATTCACACTGGTTGCCTAGTCAGGACTTCGTATCCTTATCCAAATCTAGCTGAATTAGAGACGTAGGGAGCATCATACTGATTATCATTTTGACCACTATCTGAAATGGCCATAGTTTGACAGTCTTGTATTGGCGATTGAAGGTGAAGTTAAAATCTGGACTGTTAGGGTATTCGAACCAGCGACTAGTTGGGCAAATCCATTGGTGATTGAAGTAAAATAAAGATCTGGTCAGCAGTCGGGCATCGTAGCTCAGTTGGTGGAGCATCGGGCTTGAGACCCGGTGGTTGCAGGTTGGAATCTGGCTTCCGTCCAAATTTTCATTTCATCTTCAATCATCATCACCCAGTATTAATACACGTCTGCCAAACCACGGGTATCTCAGATAGAATGATAACTTTTTATTAGATGAACTATATGGATGTCAGAAGCGTTAACCAAATTAACTGAAGCTAAAATTGTATCAGTATACAATATCACATGCTTGTTAAGTCAGTCAGAAATGGATAATTACTCTGGTCATTTCACCTTCAACTATATTTCTGAATTCACATGCACTTTTGGTAGCAAGTACATTAGAGGGACTGAGAGGAGGGCGTCTAATCGGTTCACTGAACATATCACCATGAATTTGTGCTTGAAAGGAAATGGAATTCTAACTAGTGCAATGACCAGATACATCATAGATATAGGACATTAGGTTGAAACCACGACTGCGCTTACAATAATAAATATACAGAGGATATTTGGATTACTGCGTTTCATGGGAGAGGTTGCAATAAAATGCCTTCAATCTGACCTTTACATACAGATGGAAAGTATGGTTTATCTTTCACTGCCATGATGAATATGATTTGATGCTGTATCATCTTAATTGCACAGCTCTTGATTCATTTTGTTTCTCTTCTTACATTTCTCATCCTTCTGTATATGTTACATAGATTATCAATGATTTGGTTGAACAATATGGGACTATTAATTTTCTGATTTTGAAAATATCCTACCTCCTAATAACTGTTGCAGACTCTGAAAATTTCGTCTTTCTTGCTGTGTCCAAACTAATAGGACTGATGAGTACCAATAAGTAAGAAACCGAGGTTTAGGGTTTTCTATCACAGTCAACTTTTAACATTTAACACTGAAATATGGTGCACTACAGTAACGCCTCACTTATCTTAACGGTCACATTGAAAACTTGGTCGACAGATTTCTACGGGTGCTGGCCACCGAGGGTTACACAGCTACAACAGTCATCAGCTGAAACTTGTTGTATTGCTTATTATTTTATTAATTTCATCTAATGAATCAGAGTAGTTGTTTTCATACTATGTCACAGAAGTAGTATCATCGTAATCTAGCCTGTACAAAATTGTTATAAGATAACCTATTCATTTTGTAAAAATAACAATGAGCATAAATCCAATTTGGGGGTTGTGGGGATTTATTGGTTTCAAGTTGGTATTCATCATGAAGTGATATTATTTGGAGAATCCTTAAAATTCTAGGAGCACTGGACAGCTGTTTCGTCATAGTATGGGGCTGCTCAATAGTGCGCGCCCATAACTTCGCTAGGGATCAAGCTCCATGCTAGGACGTATCAGGCTTCAAGTGGTCCCAGACTTTCAATGGTTCTCCAGTTGATGTCAGTCCGTGATAAATGTCAACCTGAAATTAATAAATGAGTTTTCGCAAACCTCCAAATTGAATTACTCTCCAGTGCTTATTAGTGACGTGTTTCGAGAAGTCCCAATGAAAAGCCGTGACCAGTGAGGCAAACTAACGTGGACGTGACGACAAATACTGGGAGATGACATTGGGTGGTGGTTGCGCTATATCGTGCACTTACAGAAGTAGGAAATATGGATCATTCTATTCCTACCCAGTGACTCAACGGTAATGTGCTGTCCAGGGAACCTGAAGGCCCTGGATTCGAGCCGTAGCGAAGCCACTTTTAATTGTTGTCAAGATAGTTGATGTTGCTTTTTTTCATTCTCTCTCTCTTCCTCTCTCTGTGAATGAAATACCAAGGCTAATAGACTGACATTGCGTAAACTAATGTGTGTTGTTTGCATCAAAATTTCATGTATTTAATCGTTTGGACTAACTACTAGTTGCTCAACTGATGAAGTAATCAATAGGAGTAGATTATACAGTTGATCAATCTGGTGATGTCATGTATTTTCACATAAGGATATGCAATCAGTTATGAAATACATTACTTTCTCCCCCTCTCTAATCTATATGGACTACCCTGATGAAGTATTCAATAAATGGCTTGTTGCTTTCAGATAAGAAAGTATGCTGAATGAATAACTAATTACAAATGGCAGTGATTCTGTAAACAATAATGGATAGTGGCTAGCAGGAGAATTCAGAATGAGCTTTTCGTCCTGTCTGGGGGTCATCAGCTAGGTGCGCCAGCCTCCTGGTACGAACGGAACGCATTCAGCCGCCCTGAGTACACCCGTGCAGTTGGAAATGAGTTATACTTGTTGTCTGAGGGCTGGTGATTCTACCTGGCTTCCCAAACCTGGATGAGTGGCGCGGGTTCGAACCCGCAACTAAATGGTTGATTGCCATCTCCACAAACCACTGAGCCATTGCTCCGTAGCTACCAGTGAGTGATATTGTTTTCACCAAGACTCGAACGGAGAGCCACAGTGTAATATACTAGGCCACTGACCCACGATATCCATCCCTTGCATGACGGGCATAGTTTAGTTTTGATGTTATACCTTGTAGTTTCACTTCTTTGGTGGGACCAATTGATCAATCTTCATTGGCATATGGGCTCGTGTGCGTATGCCTTGATATTGACGGTATTTTTAATTTGGTACTAGTGATGAGTAGGGACGAGGGGGAATTATTATATAAAAGTGGTATCATAGTTGTTGTTCAAATTAACTAGATTTTGACCTCAGGAAAGTGTATCAAGTTTGTATTGTAAACAAGTGATCAATAAGATATTTTTAGGTAAGATATACAAATAAAGAGTTTGGAGAAATGTGAAGTAGCAGTGGCTCGAACCCTATGGTAACCAAAATCAAGGAATACTATCATAAGTGTTTATACAGTCCAATTTAAAAAATCTGAAGTAGATAATTTACATCACATACTCATATCTCACTGATTAAATATTTTAGATTTACGTTGTACACTTTACCATGGTTGCCCAAATCAAAGTAGTTAGAGCAGAGCTTAACCTCTGACCCATTGTTTGTTAACTAAGTACCTGGGATAATTAGGCATGTCTTCACAGAAGACATTTGAATAAGTTTATGCATTGTCGTCTATTTGATGACTAACAGTTGAATTCAGGACATTTGTTTCATCCTATTTGAGACTCGTAAGCTGGGTACACCTTCACCCCCGAGTTGTGTTCCCACAGAGACTCGAACCCTGTACCCATCTTTCCAAACGCTAGAATATTGTCCACCAGATCACTTGGGCACGATAGCCACCAACTGCGCAATGCGTATCAGTTGGTGTTCATTGATACTTGACAACACCACTCAGTGGGGTGCAGGCACATCCAGCTGATGAGTCCCAAATAGGACGACACGTGCGTCCTGGATTTCACTGTTATCCATTCAACAGACTACATTTTATATATAAATATATATCATCTTGCTACCATGTCTAAGCAACTGCCTTCACAATATGAAACAAAATAGAAACATTGTCAACAAAGAAAATTGTATATAAATACGATAGGATAGTTAAGTAAATGAATTCGCTGGAAAGAGACTCTTCACTGAAGTACTTCTTGTTTCCATATTCTTATATCGTATTTAAAGAGAACAAATAATCTTTTTATTTTGTAGATTAGACTAGATGTACAAGTTTGCATAACAATTTTATTGAAATTATTACTTTCTAGTGCAAATTGGAGGAAATATTCCAATAAACCTAACCCCTTTGTTCTTTTTTTTTGTACTTTTCATTTTATTTTTATGATTACAAATGAATACAAAACAAATAGAATTTATTATTCAATCCAAATAAACCTTATGTAAGAAATAATCAGAATTTAGCAGAAAGTGAATCATTATTAACTGAATTTTTTGTCGCCTATTTCCGTATTACACCGCATAATAAAAATCTCCTTAAAGTTTGCCTGCAAACAACATCACCAGCTATTTATCATACTGTACTTGTCTCTGGACTTTATCGAATTATTACACAGGTAAAATTACATAACATGAAATTATTTTTTATTATTTTCATACTTTGTATGTGTGTGTGTGTGATACAGTTGGTTGATTCATGTACATTAATACTTTTTTTCTATAAACTGTAAGTCAGTATGCGTTCAAATAAGATGGAGGATTATTTGGTATGAATTGATGGAGTTTTCGAAATTTACAATTAGAGAAGTAATAAATATGGTAGTCATGTTATTTAACTACTTTAGCCTGCTGTTTTTTAATGGTGTAACCATTAGAACTAACTACATTCATCTACCTTATAAACAAGACTGTCATGACTTGCTGGATAGCCAGCCATTGAAGATGCTTAACTCTCTTTTCTATAGAATTTTGTGGTCTGTGAGAGAAGAATTCCCTTTTCGATGAATCAAGACATATATATATATATATATATATATATATATATATATATATATATATATATATACCAGCGTACCAACTTGGAGCTTTTCACACCTTCACATATCCCTGAGAAAACAGAAAGAAGAAACAGAAAACTTAACAATCTGAGGAGAAAAAAATCTCACAATTGCTATATATATCATTTAAATTGTTCAAGTGAATTACCATTAAAATATTTATGAAAAATAATTTTGACAGATGATAAAAGTAATCAAACTTGCTTTGGTATACACAAAACATGCAGTTGAAGAAACTATAGTTTCAGGTGTCCCATTTAATAAAAATGCATAAAGAAGGAAACAGAAATGTCATAATTATTCAAACAACCAAGAAAGATATGAGAAGAGATATAATATACGTTTTAAAATTAACAGTTGTTCGAGACTTAAAAAAATATCAGAGTAGTTGATCTTCAAACATATGACTGAGGGCGTCTTAACATATTGAGAACGATAGTTGAATAGCTTACGCTTGCTTATGTAGCTTAAGTCAACGATCAGAGACTGAATGGTTAGGTGGAATCTGTTGGTCTAGTTATCCTTCGCCTATTTTTATGACTAATTCTAATTTAGTTAACACAGTACATCTAGATAGTCAGTGAATGATCATGAGTAACAAACATTCGAATAGCTTTAGTCAATATCAGTTGACAGCCTCATAAACTAACTTATCTTCTTTGTCTAGCGCCTTTTGTTCAGCCTCAAAATTACTCATTTGATGATCCAGCCACATTCGAAATCGATGACTTCTATCTTTGTATTATTTTCCACCTCCAACGAATATGTCTTAGACGTTAACTACGTAACAGTAAACAAATCGCTGAGAAGCCTACTTATGTTTTGATTGCTATTAAGGTAATCGTACTGACCGATAATATCCCTTCAGTTGGTAAATGAGTAACTGGCATTTGTGCTTCTGTTCATCAGTGCTGATACAATTTCCTTGATGAGTATAGTGGTCGATACATTCCACGACTTCACCTCCTATTCTTGAAATAGGAGCCGGTGCACACCAGTTTTGTAACATTATTTTTCATAGGTTTGAGCTGTATGCAAAATATAATCAGGCTTTAGGACAATGTTTTCAAAAAACTTTAAAACTTTGTCAAGATCTTTACTTGACAGGATTATGTCACTTATATATATACTCAGTTTACTAGAAGTTCTACAAACAGTAAATCAGGTTTCTTCTCTTTCTCGTAGATCGAAAAGGTCAACAACTCGTGACACTTAAATGAACAACATCTGAATTCCACATAACCGATAGTACTTCTGAGGTAACCGTCAGGTATTTTAGCTTCGCTGTCTTTCGAGTCCAAGAGAAAACCTTTTGTCAGTTTTCACATAAATAGTTCGACAAATCCATGTGTGATCAGATTGTTTGAAATGCATAGCGCTAATACATCAAATATTTCAGATAATCTTCATCTTCTCATTACATTGTTTAAATTTATCAAAGGGACTGGTTGCTTCAAAAATTTCTGTTAGATTTTAAAAACCGTGATCTTTCTCCTATTCAGATAGAAGGATAGATAGGAGGTAACTCAATCAAGGTGGTGAGTAAACCAAAATGTCAATCAGAGTTTTGTATTGAAGTGTTTAACCTCTTGTTCTTAGATATGATCAAGGATCCATTATTTCTCAGTGAATTTTATAGTTTTCAGGTCATTCCTATTAATAAATTTAATGACTGTTGAGCATTTCTCAATAGCCTTTTTGTCTTTATTTCCTCCACTTTGTCACTCACCACTACTTATGACCATTACGAAGACTCCTAGTCAGTTGACGCCTTAACTTCTTCTACCCCTCTCCGTGATCGCAGCCAGCCGAAATAACTCCTATCTCAGTAATGTACAGTGGCTTACTGGGTTTGGTTACTGCTTCTAGTCTTTACCAATGTTTTAACAACATACTGAAAATGATGTCGAGCTAATTCAGGATGCGAATCTTAGTCATTTTCCGATACAAGTTTAATTACCTCTTCCTTGAATACAAACTTAATATTTTCATCTTTCAGCCAATCAGAAAGGTGCACAGATGAACTTTGATTTTTTTAACGAAACTACCTCAGTTCAACTTACTAACCAAGGAGAAGAGTCTTGATTGTTGCTATTAAAGTGTAGAAGTACATATTGTCAGACCAATATATAATTGAATTGTAAGTGTGGTCTTATTTGTGCATCTCAGAGCCAAAATATACCTGCATAGCTTGTGAAACCTAATGTCTGACATTTTATTAAATTCGGAAGTTGAGAACCCTGGAGTGAAGTTAATAGAATATTGCAAGAGGCTGAAAATCTTATTCCGTTCCTTAGAATCATCCATGGTGGTTATGGAATAAAAAATTTTAAGAAACTGTAGAGTATATAACTTGTTTAAATCCATGAGATGATGAAGATAGAAGTATAGACAAATATGAAGACCGTTTTGAAAGATTTAAGTTCCTTTCACAGACCCTTGGAAACATCTGGACAGTTGATGCCTTCTAAATGCATGTATGAACTTAAGTAACCTAAAATAAAGGGCAGTGTCAAGGTGGAACATATGTCTGCTCGATGTTTCTCGCATAAATAATGGAGTTCTTTAACTTTTTTTAAAATTACTTCTTTCATTATTAACCTTATTCCATGTAAATGTAGGAAGGTGGAATACATTGTGTCTATTGCCAACTTTTTCCAGCACTTACTCCTTGACGTGGAAAGGCACAGCAGATGGGGTGCTACTTACTAGAGAAAAACACTCTAGCTACTAGTTGATTGCAGGCAATCGACAGGAAGCTGTGCCCTACCTAGGTTTCTTGCTTGTTAGCACTCGTCAACAAGGCATATCTGTAACCTCGGTGGAACTCATGTCCTGTCTGATATTGGGACCCTTGGGACTGGGCTGCATGTATTGATTGGTTACGGGAGAGCAACCAATTTCATGCTGTCCAGTCCTGAGTGCTGACCGGATTCTATCGATCATTTTTTGCAGTGGGGCCACCAAGCCAGGAGGCACAGCATCATGGTGCACATTAGTAAATGTTAGTTGGCTGTAGGCAGTCGGTCTACACTCAGGACTAGACAATATGAAATTGGTTGCTCTCCCGTGACCAATCAATACGAGCAACCCAGTCCTATAGGAGGTCAATCGTGGCCCGAATAGCTGATTGGTAACGTCAGTGATTAAAACACTGGGTGACGCCGGTTTGAATCTTAGGAGGGACATCAGTTCCGTCGAGGTTGCAAAATACACCTTGCTGATGAGTGCCAACAAGCACGAAACCTAGGTCCAGGGCTTCCTGTCGATTTTCCTTCAACTAACTAACCTACTAATGTGCGTCGCGATGTTGGGCCTCCTAGCTTGGTGGCCACATTGCAAATATGATCGGTAGGGTTCGGTGTGCACTCAGGACTAGGTAACATGAAATTGGTTGCTCTCTCATGATTAATCAATAAAAATTACAATTATGTCAGTTCCCTGGCCAACTAAGACAATGCATTCACCTTCAGATCATTGTCCTGGCAAAAGCTGTTTATATTAACTTCTTTTAGTCTTGTCACTTTCCAACCTATCTTTCTGACATTTCAAAACTTTAAACAACAGTCTTACTCTTCTCATCTCCTTGTATTATTGTTGTGTCCTATCCAAACCATCATGTTAAGATAATAGCTATTCGTCTGGAGTAATACAAGTGCCAAATACAGTGGAAAATTACCTAGTTATCTCAATTTAGATTATTCATGAAATCTGAGTGACATTTTATTCTGCATAGCTCACCCTCTGGTTTAAAGTTTTCATGAAGCCTACATGAACACCAACTAACAATGAAACATCATAACATATCTTCGCTCATATGAGTGGATACAGACAACTGCGGACATGAATTTGATTAGAAAAATGTAAAAATCCTGGATAGAGGGAACACAAAGAATGTCATAGAATTTTTAATAGCTTGGTATTTAGGTCAATCAGCAATCAACAGGCATATTGACATCTACCCAATAAGAAACAACAAGAAGGTCAAAGTTCACATCAGCAGAGTAACTATTCAGAACATGGAGACGAATGGCAAGACCTTGGCAAAAACAACCAATCCCATACAAAATCATGAGCATTAGCCACTAAATCACTTGTCGAGGAAACTCTATAGACCTCTTCTTTCTGAAGTTTCTGTTGATATTGTTGTCTATAATGACAATGAAAGCTTCACGATAAAATCATCCAGCTCAGGGAACACAACACCATCAAAATTTCAACATGCCTTTAGACAACATTTGTAATATATCGTAAGTTGATTGTCAAAACTGTTCAGACGGTGATTAGATTAGTTGGATTTTTATAGGGATTTTAAGAAAGAATAAAGTTTTATATATTAACTACGGGATTTCTGAAAATGTCATTGGTGTTTAAAAAATTATCTTATGCAAATTTAAAGTGTTGTCAAACATCATAAACATGGTTTATTGCTTTTGTAGCTTGTCAAACCTAACCTCATTATCATTACTATTTTGTCAAACTGTTTTAGTCACGTCTACCATGGTGGCCTGATGTAAGTCCATTCTATTCAAAGTCAACAGAAATTCGTACAATGTTCTTGGAAACATTAAATCGTGTCAATCATCATCCACCCATCCGAATCACACAAGTACGCTTACATACATTTTTATTGACAATATATATTTTGTTGATACGAAGTTTATTTTTTAATTGTTTTATGTTCAGAATGTGCATACTTTTTGTCGGTTGATCATTTACTGTTTTACCAATCTCACTAATTGATATATTCCTTTGTGTGAAACTCAGGCATCTGGGTACCCTAACTTAGTTGATATGGTAGCAGGTAGGTGAATCGGAAGCCACTGGTTCTCGAACTGTGACACGACTCAGGCAGATAGGCAGAACCAAAGTAGAACCTCACTTACACATGTGCATCGGTTTGAATTGCCACACTTCACAGTAGCATACGAAGAACAAGTGGGTTGAAGGAGACTGATATCAGAGTAGACAAAGGGATGCGGGAGGAGAATGAATTCAAAGTTCAAGGTTGGTAAAAACATTCAAGATAGTCTACATCCCCTACACGACTCAGACCAACACTCGGGGGCTTCATCCACTGGTGCCACGTCTTGATCTGGTCAACCTGAACTCTCTTCGTACCTAATCCAATTTCCCCTAGCAATGCACGTCCAGGTAGGCGGTGACTTGGAGTGCAAAACACATATCCAAACCACCTCAGTCGCTCAAGATGCACAGCCTCACTGACTGACTTTGCCTTCCTTGCATAAAACCCTTCGCCTGACCTGTATATTGCTCAAGTGGTGATTCCACCTTACACGAGAACTGCTCCAAAGACACATTTGGTCAGAAGCAACTAGCAGCTTGAGAAGACAGTCTATTTCGAATGCTGAAAAATTTAAAGCAGAATTATTTGGTATGCAGTTACCAAGTTCTTCATTATTATCTTTTTGACTAGATTTTTGAAAAAAAATAGAGGTGAACCAGATAGAACACTGCGGTATGCATTTTCACAGTCTCTCACTACTTTTACTATCAGTCTCTGATGTTTCTCTCATACGGTATGCTGAGATATAGTACTACAAGGTAGAGTTTACAGTAGTACTGTCATCAAACATTTTTGATGCATATATTACACTTCTGAAAGATAATAAATAATCATCAGTCTATGCCAAACAATAATTTTCAATACTCTATGGAATTTTCAGTGTGATATTTTGACAGATTTACTTACTCCCTTTACAATATTTTCAAATTAAATAATCATTCCAGTTAACTAACGCTAGTAACAATGCACAACAACCAATTGTTTTTAGATTATCATCTAGTTTTTGAGTACCTTATTACAAGAAGACTAGAAAAGCCTCCGTAAGTGTACTGGTCAAGGTTCATCTAACCAGTATGAAAATCTGCATTCTCAGTTAACTATTTCTGTAGTATCTGTAATATAATGTACTGTTATGTGCTTAGCTACCCATTGGCTTCTACTATGATATTTTCTGGTAATTTTTTCATTAATTTGTGTAATGATGGATTAAAGATATTATAAGTATGCACAAGAGTATGTCTTACGATTATTTGACGTTTAAATGATTAAAACAAGTTTTTAACAAAAAAAAACAGTTTTTATGAAATATATTCGATGAAAACGTTTTACTAGCTTAAAATTTAAGCAGATCATCAAGCATAGTATGGATTTCAACATTTAAGTTAACCGCCTACTTAAGTTGATTGGTCAAAGGAGAGCAACTAATCTCATCCAGTCTAGGCTTGAATACTGACCAAATTTTATGTATCATTTTACAACGAGGTCACTAAGCTAAGAGGTTGACTATTATGCTGCACTTTGATAGGTGTTATTTACCCTTACATTCATGAAGTAATATGAATTCATAGGTTTTAGTAAAGTATATTCTTTGTATCAATAAATTGTATCAGTAAATTGCTTAGCTTCACTTTGAAGTCTAGTGGAACTATGGCTTGATAGACTAGTTAACACTCTATCTGTTTAAGTTTCTTGGACTGATATCAATTTAAATTCTTTCAGATTCGGCTATCAGATGTAGCTTATATAGAAATCCATAAACTAGAACTGAGTTACTCAAATGCATTCAAATATCCTAAACGTCAGGCTACTACAAATGGTATTTGTTCATTTGACTGAATGACTGACTGACAAAATCAACATATAACCTAGCACACAAGTCCATCGGTTCAACTAGCCACACTTCACAGTAGTATACGACAAACATGTGGATGAATAAGATTGATATCGAACTAGACAAAGACATTTTGAAGATATAGGTTAGTATAAATATTCAAGCTTTAGAAGACGTCAGGGTATGAATACATTTGCACCATTATGGTTGATTTTCAGTCATATCATCAAGAGTTCTTAACCACTGGTTCCTTTTATCTATGAGACACCAATCAGACAGTTTACATCCTCCACACGACTTCATCGACTGGTGCCAGGTCTTGCTCTGGCCATCATCACTCCTCTTCCAACCTAATTCAATTTCACCTAGCGTGGTACGTTGAAGTAAGTAGTGATTCAGCGTGCGAAGTACATGTCCAAGTTACCTCATCAATACTGAAACAATCTCTTCTATGTATACTAAAGTGATAACTTGTAAAATTCATCATCTATGGGTAACCATAATACACTTATCATTCACACTATCTATACCTTAGCATACAATACTTCTTAATTGATTTAATCGCTTATTTTTCACTATTTCTGATTAGGAATAGTTAAGGCATGCATACAAGTTTATTCCGTTGTGCCACATCATATAACAGTTATACTTAACCGTTAAAAGAAAAAACTTTTACCTTTGTGTAAACAACATCTTATCTACCTGTTTTCCTCTCTACACATAATAATACATCATGTTAGTTAGTAAACAAAATGAATCAAGGTGTGTAGTCTACCTAAATACAACTGTGTCTGTAAACTAAAAATCAATAAGTCAGAATCTCCTAGACATGTGAATAAAAGAACTAACAAAACTTTACAATGTTGTAATTGAAAAGAAGTCAACATTCGGTCAGCAGTTGCTTCTCGTAGTTCAGTTTCCATAGCATCAAACCTCGAAACTAGCTAGATTTTCATTTCATCTTTCAATCATCACTCTTTATCAGAAATACCAGTCTTTCAAATCATAGCTATTTCAGATATTCTCGTCGATGATATTGTAAGATCTCGAAGTGTATTGTTACTAATTTAAATGGATGAAATGAACCAATTTATGTTGATCTTTTGGTTCTTGAGAAAGCATGCTTTTGCATTGGCTTAAATCAAACCACCTGTTTGTTGGCTAAGTTATACATCTATTGCAAGTTGAGACTTGTCTGTGGAATGTATCTGAATTCCGATTAGTCGTTTTGCTTAGAAGTTATTACTTTGATATTTAATGAAAACTAATTTATCGCTCATCAGATTGATGACATTTAGGGAGTTTGACTATCTGGGATAGCCGTGATTTGGCAAACTTGTATTGATACTTGTTGGTGATTGGAGGTGAAGTAAAAATCTGGATGCTGGCGGGATTCGAACTACCATCTGTAGGTTAGCAACCCGGTGCTCTGCCAACTGAGAGCTACGAGACCCGACAGAAGACCTGAGGAGCTGTGGCTCAGTGGTTTAAGGTTTCAAGCTCCGCTCCATCTACCCGGGTTTTGGCAGCCAGATAATATCACAAGCCCTCATACAATCGGTATGGCTCATTGCCCACTGCATGAGTGGGCACGAGGTGACTGAGTACATTACATTACAGTGCATACCAGATCTTATTTCGCTCCAGTCACCAAGGGTTTTGCCCGACTTTCATGTGAAGTGATTTTCCTCCTCTCTAACTGAGCTGAATCTGGATTGAGATCTGGCTGAGTAGAAGGTGTGGGTACGATGAACGGATAGTAATGCATTACGAATTCACATGACAGTCGGGAAAACCCTTAGCGACTAAAACCAAACTAAGATCTAGGTTGCAGTTGGCTTTCGCAGCTTAGTGAGTTGAGCTCCGAGGCGTAACCTCGATGTCGGTGGCTCAAATCCTGTGAGCGATTACAATTGAATATGTGTATGTGAGGAGAGACAGATATTACTTGACAGAAGTAAAGAATTGTGGACTGTCGAACTTCAATCTAGTGGTTGAGTGGTTAACTCACTTGCTGAGAAAATTGAACGCCCTGAATTCGATCGCTGGTGGGGTCATGGATGTACACTGCTGTGAAGTTCCATACTGGGACGAAACAGCTGTCCAGTGCTTTCACGTTTCCACTGGCTCTCCAAATGATATCAGTTCGAGATGAGTACTGTCTTGAAATAATCAAAATTCCAGAAAACCTCGAAATAAACTATTAATTTGTCCCTCAAAATGGTAGTATTGGTAATCATAGTGATACTTTTAGACAGCGCTTTCATTTCACTTTTATATATTGTTGATTTGATTTAAAACTATTTATCGGACTGCATCATGGGCATTCACTGGACCAATGAAAAGACGCTAGAGGATTTGGATTTCGCCAATGATTTATTTTCAGTGTCGCACAAACTCGAAGATCTACAGGAGAAAACTAACAAGTTGACAGGAGAGGCAACGAAAACGGGAATTCAAGTGAATGTAAAAAAGATGGAGGTGATGAAGATATCCAACCAACAACACCATCAACAACAAGAGACACCAATCACCATTAACGGGAGGAACCTAAAGAAAGTCATCTCTCTCATCTATCCACATCGGCGGCATCGTTTCAACTACAGGCAGCACAGTCACAGACGAGGATGTCAAAGCAGCCACCATCAGAAAGACAGCAAGACAGGCATTCCTGCATTCATCTAAAATCAGTGTGCAGATCTACTGCACTGCACTGCACTGCACTACACTCAGCATAAAGTGTGAACAAGATCTGGATTCTCAACACCAATTCAGTCAAGTGAGTCAGTGCTTCCATGTGATGGTTCAGAAACTCGGCGAGTCACGAAAAGCACTTCCAACAAACTTCAGACATGCATCACATCAACAGCTGCCGTCTACGCTCACTCGATACTGAAAATCAGATGGATGGCCAGAAAGACTAAGCACGGCGGAACTCACTCTGGCTGGCAACGAACCAATGAAGCAAGAACATATCACCCAACAAGTGTGTAGAAGAGGAATGTGGAGATGGACTTGATTTGGCATACATTGAGAAGGCTTAGTGGGGAAATCAAGCACCAGGACAGGCCAGAATGTCGAGTGGACACCACAGGGGAAACGATGAGTTGGGCGTGCCAGCTGAGAGTGATATGGAGGAGATGGTGTGAGGAAGAAATGGAAGCTTGTGGGCGCAGTTGTGTTGCTAGGTTTTGAAGAGTGGATAGAAGAGAATGGAATGGAGGTGTGCTAGTGAAGCCCAACGTTCCTTAGGAACCCAAGGGAGAAAATAAAATAATCGAACTGTGTATCATGCGCCCATAGTATTTTCTTAGTTGATGTAAATTTCCTGGCATTTTTTTATATTTACGTTTCTCAAGAAACATAGTGTTGACTGTTCTTTGTCTAGAATACTTTTGTTGCAATTCGATGTTCAACTTTCTTTCTTCTCTGTATAATATACATTAGAAATTGTCAGTTGACTTTTTAATTCTCACCACCCAATTTTCCTCATTTATACTACATAACATTGATGTTATTTGGTCTTGAAGACAATAACTTATGTAGGAATCACAGTGGACATGAGGACAAATACTCCAAGATGACTTTGGATGATGGTTGCGCTAAATCATGAACTGACTGAAGTAAGAAATATTGGATTTTGACCGGTGATTCAATGGTAACTTACTGGCCGTGGAATCCCTAAGTTCCTGGGTTCGATTCTTGGCGGGGTCATGGATGTACACTGTTGAGTAGTCCCATACTAGAAAGAAACAGTTTTCCAGTAGTTCCATGTTCCTAATGGTCCGTGATAAATAACAACTTGAAATTAGTAAATCCCTACAAAATACCCTAGATTCACGAATATTTGTTAGAAACTTTCTAAGAAATATCTTAATGAAACATTTCAAGATAAAATTGATGCATGTTATTGTGATAAGATTATTGTTCATTACTTTATATCAAATATATCGAGGTAGGTAAGTATCTGCTACACTGATAACTCATCCATGGGGATAAACTATTCAACATTTCAATCAGCTATTCTAGGTTGTTAGACAAATCTAAAAATTTGTAATAGCATTTTCTAGGACTTTAGATCACTATTTTGGATTAGCTAAATAGTAACGTCTGTAAGCATCACATTTGAAAAAGGTTTTGGGATGCTAGTAAATAAGTACTGTTTACTTATCTTACCCATACTCCTGAATTTTAGCATGTAAACTAAAAGAAACTACATTTTTAAGAGATTTTTGATATAGAAATAAATTCAGCGAAGAAAATTTCCTTTTTGCGACGATATCATTTTCTAAAACTGTATAATCATATTTATATAGATCACAAACATATAGCAGTCTATTATTTCACCATAGAGTATATATAGTTGCATCATTAAGCTAGTGCTATAGACTGAAGTTAAGAATGGAGAGTAGTTGCGTAATAATCTCTTAGAAAATGGATATAATAGGAAAGAAAAAAAGTTTGACAAGTTGAAACCTGTTGATAAACGTGGAAGGCAATAGTTGAGTATCCACTTGATAGATACAAAGAAGATGAAGAAAGAAACTGGGGACATAATGAAGATGATAATCTTAAACTAACTAATATTGAAATCGAAAAGAACTATGAAAGTTTTAAGACCACGGTAAGAGAAGAAACTGAACATACTTCTTCTGCACTTAGAGGTCAAGCTTGAATTGGTGAGTTGTCAGTCCTTCTAGTGTACATAATTGTCCAAAACGTACTGTTTTTGAACTGTCCTCTTTAACTGTGTAAATGGTACTGAAAAAGGACTCTTGTGAATCTATATGTTTACAGTTGATCGTATGTTCAAGAATTGAACCGTTAATTGATTTGCATGCTCTCCTCAACAACCATGCAGAATAATGTTTAGAGATATAGCAGCCTATATAACTAGCTTCACTGGATCAGTTAAGCTTGTAAATACACACTGAGTTGGCCCAAAGCGTCAGTTTGTCCTTAACACACCCTGAAACCAGTTACTGACTAGATAAACTAATCTGTAGCTTCGGAGACAACAATGTCTTCAGCGATTTGGACAGCCTACTCTTCAGGATCTTTGGTGCCTTATCCCCTTGAAACCAACGTTCATAACTAAAGCCTTCTTTGGGGCTGTTAGTAGTTGCCCCTTATTCTGTTTTATTTTCAAGTTCTTCTCGATAGATCTGGATGGGTATCTATTTTGTGTAAGGATTTCCTGTAGTTTGTCCAATTCATTGTCAATGATACTGGAGTGTAACCTTTCATTGATAGTTCATGCACTATTCGAACTACTCAAAGACGGGCGCTTTAATTTCACAGACTATATTGCTACGGTGTCAAAAAGTTGATTGGAAGACGTTAATCTTAAGTTGGTGAGATGTCCTAAATCAACAGAGGTACATCCTCGTTTTCAGAAGCACCAGAGAAACACGTATTCAACTTCTCCAAGATAACTTTGATTTCCATTCAAATGCACGTATTATCTCTGGGTCCGAAATTTTGCTATTCTTCAACAACTACTAATGATTTAGATATAAATGCAGCTTCAAAACCTAACCAACCAAACAAACGATCTTCTACCATTTTTAAACAAGAGACTTAAACAGTTCGAATCAACTTTCTTTAACTGCTACCATCAATATCTTAATACGAAGCTACATTACAAATGACTGTTAACGAAGGAGCATAAAGAGCAACCACGTGAGATCTTGAAAAAATAAAGATTTGCTGCTAGTTCGTCTTGAAAAACGCGTTGATATTGCCCTTAGGGATCGCCCGGACTACAACGCTAAAATAAGCATAAATTTCCACAGACTCTACTTAAATTATTCTACGGCGCAAATTGAACGAAAGTTCATTCAAATTCTTCATAAAATGAAGAATAAATCGATCATCAGCGCTGAACTATTTGAGTGATTTCAACCATCTGGTTCTGTAACTCTTCACTTATAAGGTCTCCTGAATGTATACAAGGAAGATCTTCCTCTGCATCCAATTTTCAATATGAACAATTCAATATACCATACCATGCCGTCTCCAAATGGCTGTCTGACATCCTTCAACTAGTCAGAAAACAGTTAAATACGCATAGCGTATTAAATTCTTTTGAATTTATTAAGTTTCAATGTATCCAGCAAGCGAATGATTTCTTTTGATATAGTTTCTCTCTTTACCAATATCTTTCTCATAAAAACTCTCTGTTATCTATATGATTTCACTGAAGATAACAATTTTCACTTGAGTATTTCTAGGCATTACTTACTTTGAATGTGTAGAGAAGTGATACAACTAATAATCATTTGACTATCTAAGATAGACATAGTTTGGCAGATTAGTATTTTATACTGGATGATGATTGAAGGTGAGATGAAAATCTGGACTGCGGCCGGACTCGAACCAGTCATCACCCAGTATAAAATACATTTAATTGGTTAAATGGCACATTTATAATCTAAATGAGGTGATATTCATAAATATAGGGATTTTATTCAACTTTAGGTATTACACTTTGAATATGTAACCAAACCAACTGGATGTATCATAGCATATATTCAATATATTATGTTTTTTCCTCATTTATTTTTTCTCTCTATAGAGTCTAACATTCAGAGATAAGATGAATCTAAAAAACAAAGATAAAACAGAAGATAATTTGATGAGTAAATATAATTTACTGTTAAATATGGTTCGTTTATTGAATGCAAATCCATTATTAATGCTTTATGTAAGTGAAAATATTAATGTTAAGGTTATTTTCACCAAAGAATATATGTTCATGATTATTATTACATTTTTACGTGTATATTGCTTAGAGATATGAAAGCTTATCAACTGTCAACACTAATTTATAGGTCATGTTAACTGGATGAGATTTATCTATACTTTGGAGAGTTGTTTCATTCGGTGATCTTGGGATCACCGATATCCAGACTAATTGCAGTAACAGTGATGAAGAGACTGGAAGCCATCATTCTACCTGTGATTAAACCAAAAAAATTATTTCATTCGCTTGACACTCTTTTCCATCATTGATAAACTCAGAAGAATTCATTCCTTTGATCTTATTTAGATGATCTTCAACTTGAGCAGTAAAACTTGAAAACATGCGACATCGGTATCTAGCATATTTCATCAGTCTATGAGGATTCTACTTCAGAAATTTTAATGCATGAAGTGTGTTAGTTGGGATTGTCAGAACTTCGTAAAATATGATCATCATTGTAATATCTATTCCATGTTACGATTGTATGATTAATTTGATAATTATAACTAGAAAGTTTGATTGCTTGAAAGTGGTATTAAAGGCAGTAAATCATTTTGACACCGTATTAAATCTGTGATATGACTAAGGACACGAAATTGTGTCCAAAACGTAATACAGTAAACAGCACTGTTTCTTCGCTGTGTAATACATCTAATAAATATACTGGGTGATAATTGAAGGTGAAATGAAAATTTGAACTGCAGCCAGATTCGAAAAAGCATCATCCGGTATCAATACTAGTTTGCCAAACTATGACTATCTCAGATAGCCAAAACAGAAATCAGTATGATTATTATTATATATTATTATTTTCCCCTTGGGTTCCTAAGGAACGTTGGGCTTCACTAGCACACCTCCATTCCATTCTCTTCTATCCACTCTTCAAAACCTAGCAACACAACTGCGCCCACAAGCTTCCATTTCTTCCTCACACCATCTCCTCCATATCACTCTCAGCTGGCACGCCCAACTCATCGTTTCCCCTGTGGTGTCCACTCGACATTCTGGCCTGTCCTGGTGCTTGATTTCCCCACTAAGCCTTCTCAATGTATGCCAAATCAAGTCCATCTCCACATTCCTCTTCTACACACTTGTTGGGTGATATGTTCTTGCTTCATTGGTTCGTTGCCAGCCAGAGTGAGTTCCGCCGTGCTTAGTCTTTCTGGCCATCCATCTGATTTTCAGTATCGAGTGAGCGTAGACGGCAGCTGTTGATGTGATGCATGTCTGAAGTTTGTTGGAAGTGCTTTTCGTGACTCGCCGAGTTTCTGAACCATCACATGGAAGCACTGACTCACTTGACTGAATTGGTGTTGAGAATCCAGATCTTGTTCACACTTTATGCTGAGTGTAGTGCAGTGCAGTGCAGTGCAGTAGATCTGCACACTGATTTTAGATGAATGCAGGAATGCCTGTCTTGCTGTCTTTCTGATGGTGGCTGCTTTGACATCCTCGTCTGTGACTGTGCTGCCTGTAGTTGAAACGATGCCGCCGATGTGGATAGATGAGAGAGATGACTTTCTTTAGGTTCCTCCCGTTAATGGTGATTGGTGTCTCTTGTTGTTGATGGTGTTGTTGGTTGGATATCTTCATCACCTCCATCTTTTTTACATTCACTTGAATTCCCGTTTTCGTTGCCTCTCCTGTCAACTTGTTAGTTTTCGCCTATAGATTTTCTAGTTTGTGCAACATTGCATATAAATCATGATCATGGCCGAAATACAAATCTTCTAGTCTCTTTTCATCGTTTATCTCAGAACGTCAAAATGATGATCAGTGTGATACTCCTACTCAAATTCATTTACATTTGGGTTGGGATGAGACGTCCTTACCAGGCAGCCACTGTGAATACGACTAAGTGGTAGTAACGTGTGACAAAGCCACATGTTTGTCAGACACATCCCTTGGTGATTGAAGTGAAATAAATATCTGCTCATAAGTCGGATCTCGCAGGTAAGTTGGTGGATGATTCTAATCCGGCTGCGGTTCAAATTTTCATTTCACCTTCAATCATCACCCAGTATAAATACTACTCTGCCAAACCACGACCATCTCAGGTGGTCAAACAATAATCTAATAAATAGACGAAAAAGGTATTAGCTTTTACTGTAGTTCCCATGTTTTAATTTTATACTAACTGTATTAACGAAGGGAACTGCTGAATAAGATAATAACTATTCTCCTCTAGAATTCCAATCATTTTTTCACTTTTCATATGGATTGATACTTTGTCTGAAATTAGGTAGTGATATGTTTGAATGCATTAACTACTTCACTTGTCTATGAATTCTTATCAGTCGTCAATGAAGCAGGAAATCTCTGCATATATTTGAAAGCCTCCATTAGTTTTTCACAAATTACGCCACCTATTGTGTCAGTGAAATATCCAATCGCATGTTTAGATTAAAGTGGACTGTTTGATGGGAAAACATGGTTTTAAAATGGGGATGAAGTAATAAGGTTTCGTGTGTTCGATTACTTTTATTCCTTTAGTGCTGCATATTTCTTATAGTTATAAGTTACACGCAGATTCTTAGGTAAGTTATATCTGATCAAGTTTAAGACATTGAGATTACGGTGGTTGAGATGTATCACGAAGACATAATCACCATATTGCATGACAGCTTGTCATCCCTAAACAGTTAGCTTAGTGTGACCAGACTTAAACGTGACATCATCCTACGAAATCTCTAATGGTCGTTTGAATGGTGTAGTGGAATTGAATTCTATTTTAGGGTTCATCTGACAACCAGGGTTGGAGACTGTAGATCAAATGTCTGGAAATCGATCTGAATCGTAAAGATGCTCCCATATCCTATCTTCATCATTGTCATGTCACATTGCTCAACTGACGTTAATTCATTATTCTTTTCATTTTCTAACATTCTTCAACAATTAGTTAGAATACTTTTATGCCTTTTTGTCTTGTTACTGTGTATATTTATAACTTGATGCGAAAAGTAATACAACTAGAGCTATTACGCAATAACTTCGGTTCTTATGTTGATAGTAATTGACTAACTCTTAATCGATAAAAAACTATTTTCTTTTTCACACAAATCAATGTTTTTGTTGATAGATAAAAAATATAGTAATGAAGCAACTACTTTAAAACAATAAAGTATACTTACTTAAATTATCCAAATTCTATGGCAGAAACAGTAATGGTAGTATATAGTAGTAATATGGTATGGTGGCAACACTACACTGAACACCGAATGAATCATCAAGTTCTTGGAACCTGTAACACTTAGTTGATAGACTTCTATCCGAACTTATGAGTCGTCGCTTATATTGGTTATCATCGAGAGACTAATCTAAGCATATCTATGGCAATACAGAACTTTTATCCATATTCAACTGGTTACTTTTTGAAGTTTCAACCTTTTTTAATGAACCGACCTAACGTCGAAACTATTGAAAACCAAGGATAACTAAAAAAGTGTAATAGTAGTGATGGATAGTGGCTAGCAGTGGAATCCAGGATGTGCATTTCGTCTTATATAGGACTCACTTGTCAGCTGGATGTACCTGCCTCCCAGTGCCGAGTGATGTCGTTCCCACCGGAATTCGGACCCGAGACCGATCGCTTCAAACATCAGAGCGTTATCCACTAGACCATAGAGCTACGATAGCCACTTCTTGTTCGGCGGGTATAGTTTAAGTGTTATTGTTTGTATTATACCGTCGTTGATTGGTATTTAGGCTCCTGTGTGGATGCCTTGATATTGCCTATGTTTTTAATGATGTGGTAATGATGGATGGTAGCTAAGAATAGAATCCAGGATGTGCATTTCATCCCATATGGGACTCATCGGCTGGATGTACCTGCTTCCCAGTGAGTGATGCCAGACATGAAGAGACACGCATCCTGGATTCCACTGCTAGCCACTATCCATCGTTTAACGATAAGTAAAACATAGGCAATATCGAGGCATCCACACATGAGCCCATATGTCAATAAAGACCGATCAATTCGGTCCAATCGACGACAGTATAATACAAGAAATAACATTAAAACAAGTGTAACGTTTTACCTCTTCAAACTTTAAACCATTCCTCAAAATAAGAAAGTGAATGATAAAATTATCAGCCATCATCTTACAACTTAGGTTGTGAGTTGGTGTCGATAGCCTTCAACTTTTCAACGTCAGTTATTACGTTGTATGATTCAATGATATTTCGTCTAGATTAGATCTCATTTTTCTTCACCTCTGACTTGTTTAATCCTTAAGATAGCAAGACTAACTATTGAAACTACAGCTATATTACTCAGGATATCTTGGATTGTTATGGAGATAAATGGTTTGGAAAAAATTGACATGAATGTCAGGAGACTGAGATGCAGAACAGAATGTTTATTATTAACATCTTGTACACTTTCCACTAAAATAGTCATCTGTACAATGTATTTCATTTCCTCTTCTGCTCCTATCTTGACTTGCTGTTAATACGCCCACATTGTCTCTTGCATTTCTCTGGGCAGAATATTTACCCATTACTGGTAATTGCCTGTGATTTATACCGCCCTCTCAACATATACTACTTATATCCATTTTTTTATCAGTAGCACCCACTACAGAACTACTGCTTTTACCTTTATTCTTCCCTTTTTTTCTTTTATATTTATTTGCCTAAAGTTTTTCAAAAATAGCTCACCAATATCTACATTCTTCATTAATTATGTGATTTATTTATTTATTTTTTTTTTCTTTAGAGTCCACAGACACGTTCAAGTTCAGATGCTCAGAAAGCAACATTTGATCTAATGAATGGTTTAATGTCTTTAATACAACAATCTATTATGTCTGATTTAGCCCAAGAGGCTATGGATGCTTTACTTTGTCTTCATCAACCAGCCAACATACGATTATGGAATTTACATTCACCAGCTCAAGCATTTTGGGAAATAAGGTGTGTAGTTTTTAATGATAATAATCATTTTCATTTTTTAAACAATCAAACAATAAATTCGACTTATCAAATGATTACTTTATACTAAGCTAGGTGTTACTGAGATGATTTTTTTCAATTCAGTAACTAGATCAATATATCCATCTTGGTGACTGGCAGTGGAATCTAGGACATACGTTTCGTCCTATTTGGGACTCATCGGCTGGGTTTGCCTACACACTAGTGAGTGATGTTTAATCCGACTGACGCCCAAACACAGTATCGATCGCTTCAAACACTAAAGGATTTTTTCTAGGCCACTGAGGTACTATAGCCACTACCTGTGTATTGGATATCAGTTGTTGTTTAAATACTGTAGTGGGTGCTACTGGTCAGAATGGATATAAGTAGTATATGTTCAGAGGACTGCAGAAATCATAGGAAATTATCAGCAATGGGTAAAGATTCTGCCCAGAGGAACGCAATAGAATGTTGGCGTATTAAGAGCAAATCAAGGTAGAAACAGAAGAGTTAGTGAAACACATTATGAAAACGACTGTTTCAGTAGAAAGTATACAATATTTGATGACTACTGTACAAGATGTCAATAATAAACATTTCTTCCTACGTCTTTGTCTTGTCGTTTCTTACAATACTTGTAATTTCCAGTTGGTATACAAGACAGAATGCATAGTATTAAAGCTTGGGATATAACTGTTATTTCTCAAAATAATCAACACCTTAATCTGTGGATTATTTTGTCTCACAAATAATTAGATCCATTTGTACAGAAAAACACTTTTATGAAAAGTTGTCAAGCTGTTTCTGATAACACTTTGATGTTGGATTTTTTTAATCTAAATCAAAACTACACATCCTTAAGATGATTGCCTATCTACAGGATTCAGTATTATTCTGTTTTTAATATTTGTTTTGATTCTATAACTGTCAGTTTACCTACATCAGTAATCATTTCTTTACATATAGGTAGAAATAAAGATTGGAGGTGAAATGAAAGATTGGACTGCAGCCTGATTCGAACCAGCAACCATTGGGTTTCCAGCCCAATGCCCTGTCAACTGACTCTCCAACCCCAAAACCTGGTGATTGCTGGTTTGAATCCGGCCGTAATCCAAACTTACATTTCACCTTCAATCATCACTCCAGTATAAATACTAGTCTACCAAACTATGGCTATCTCAAATCGTAGTCAAATGATAAGAAATAAAGATCGTCAAAAAACTTTATTAGAATAATTAATCAGTTCAAATTGTCAAATTTTCTGTCAATAAAAAAGTTAATCAACCATAACTTTGAGGTAATAAAACAAAGAATGATTATATCAATGGAAAGATGAATAGATAGATGAAAAGTAATTAGATATTGTAAATCTTTAAAGCAGATAATCAGCTTCTAAAGGCATCTAAATCAGTGTTATTTACTATTCACTGTTTTCAAATATATTAAATAACTCAGGTGGACAATTAATTCTTCCCTTGATAATACAAGAAAGGAACGGAATACACTCATCAATCTTATCCACGTTCGTCAAATAGGCGATGAACCATACCTGTTGTATGACGGCTAGGTTTAAATCTAAGAACTACTAATTTCAAGTCAACTGCCTAACCTAGTGAACCACAGCTCCACTTCATGATACAGGCTAACTGATGTGAAAGTAAATATATAAGTCAGTGATTTTTCCTTGATAGTTACATCGTGAGATGCTTTTCAAAAGAGATTTATAACTATCTTTATTGATTTTCACTCAAGAAGGTGCTAAAAAGCAGGTCATTAACCTATGGTTTTGTTGACTATTCTATCTTCAATGTTGATTATTCAATAACAGATAAATAGAAGTTGTGAACTCATATTTCTTCATATTTGCGCCTATTGATAAATGTAAACGAAATTTTGAAGGACATTTGCTATTTGCCATATCTCGAGTCAGATCTTCTCTTCGAAGCCAGAAGACTCATTCTGAATGAATTGATTATTTTATTACTAACGTTCCATCAAACCGTATAAAACTGAACCTTTTATGATAGCGTGATAGGTGGTACAATTTTTGGATAGTTAGTGCTTGGAAGTCACTAATCAAAGGGATAGAGTTTCAACATTGATTGATTACCGGAGAGAAACCGATTTCATTTTGTTTATACTTAACTGTTGATCGAATTTCATTGATTGTTTTTGCAGTCTTATCACCAAGTTAGATAATTTACTATCTCAGCGTAATTTGAGTTTAGGTCGGTTTGGCATTCTGTAGAAAGTCCTATTATATATCGACTGAATTAATCGGTCTTTATTGGCTCCTGAGAAGATGCCTCGATATTGCCTGTGTTTCAGTTATCGATGAATGATGGATAGTGGCTAGCAGTGGAGCCCGGGATGCTCATCTCATCCTGTTTAGCACTCGTCAACTAGATGTACCTGCCTTCCTGTGAGCGATGTTGTTCCCTCTAGGACTCGGGGCCGGGACCGATCATTTAAAACACCAGAGCGTTATCCACTAGGCCACCGGGTCACGATAGCAGCTTCTTATACGATGGATATGGTTTTTACGTTGTTGTTTGTATTGTTCCGGCGTTGGTTAGACCGAGTTGATCAGTTTTCAAGTCTTAATATGAGCAACATCGCTCACTGAGAGGCAGGTACATTCAGCCGACTAGTTTGAATTAGAACAAGAACGCGTATCCTGGATTCCACTGGATTTATCATTAATAAAGTTCTATACTTAGGTCGTTTGTGGTCGTCACCAAGATATATCCGCCGATTCGAGAGAACTAACGCCTCTGAATTCAACCCTGCTGGTTGTGGATTCTAGTCCCTAAGTTGACACAATTACGAATACTAGGTGGTATAAATCCTCCTGTTAATTACCTCCAAACACCTAACATTCTATTTAAGTGAATACATTTGGCAATTGAGTTAAAAAAATAGTAAGACTTATTCTAATCACCTATCATCAATATTGGCTAACACTGCCAAATAAATTCACTTTATTAAATGAAACAATTATTATATAGGCAATTAGATATATTCATGAAGATCAAGAGTAATACATTTGATCACTTGAAAGAGTTAATCAACGTAAAATCTTAATTATTCAACTTAAAATCAAAGGGTTTCAAACTTTCTCCATCTACTTTGATATAGACAATCAAACAAAGCTTTCATACAGTAAGTATGATTCGTTAAATTCTCAATTGATGTAAGTTATTCATAAAGTTGCATCATGTTTAACATTTCAACTTTTAATAATTTCATATCCATTTAATATTTCCATGGAATTTTCTTTTCTTTATTATTTTATCTATAAAGCCCACAACTTTTGTACAGTATTGCTCAGAAATTAATCAATCGTAATATACCTAATTCATGTGATGTATTAAAGTGGTTAAGAGAAATACTTGTATGTCGTATAAAATTTCTTCAACAACACTGTGATTATGCTAATTTATCAGGATGTTGTACACTGGGTTTATTAACATCCTCCAATTTACCAACTGATGGTGATATGAATAATACTAGTATCAGTACAAGTGGAAATATAGGCGTTACTAATTCTTTTACACTAATCACTTCGACGACAACAACAACAACAATAACAACCACTATATCCAGTCCATCGGTTACATCAACAAATGCACAGACAAACGCAAATTCAGGTTTGTCTAATTTATATACTTATTTCATCAATAATAATAATTTTTTGATACTGGATATAAATTGAGGGTGAAATAAAAATCTAGCTTGTGGCAGGATTCAGACCAGTGACCTTTGAATTACTTGTCAGACGTTCTACTGACTAAGGTACAAAACCCAGTTGCTAGCGAATTCTTAATTTTACTTCAATCATTGAGGCTTTATCATCATTATCAATATTATTGTTATTATTATCAATCGTTATAAAGGACTATCAAGATTTGGGTGTTTAATTGACCCAGAAATCAAAGTATTTTTTATCAAGCGTCTCACAAGCACCTGTCAAGTGTAAGATAATACCTCAGGACTGGTTTTGTACAACTACTTTAAGCTGAATGATAGGGAATGAAAGAATAGGATGTGTCGACTACTTCGCTTACTTGAGAAAACGATTTGGTCGCAAATTAAATCTCAGCTAGGATAGAGAAGGCCTATTTGGCATTTGCTCAGGGTTTGGTGGAATCACCATGTGAACAATAAGGTTGGAATTAGAGTTGGCGTTTAAACCTGCAAACATACTTAAAAACAAGCTTTGTAGGTAAAAAGATCCTATTAATCCAGTTAGTTAGAATAATTTACTTTACCAAATAAAATCCCTTGCAATAATTGCGAGGTCAAATACTTAGGTTGAAGTAGTCGACCAGGGTCGGAGAACAAAACGCTGGCTAGATCAAATTTTTTAGGTCCTAGTAATATAAGAAATTTAGAAAAAAGCTGGACCATAGCTATGCATGCTATTACATACAACCATACAACAGGATGGGATAGGGTGGAGATCCTTAAAACTAACCTGGTGGAGAGCAGGAGAGAGAGAGAGAGATTGGTAACCGAATCTTCGTGTATCGAATCAACACCAAACACACTCAACAGGCATAAATCAACATATTTTTCGGATATATGGAATATTTCACTGCTTGTATACAAAGAAGGAGAGAGAAAAAGAACTATATATACATATATCAAATCAAAAGTTTCAGCATTGTGGAATGAATCGGTGTAATGTAAGTAGACTTCCCATTAGAAATTTACTCGTAATAAATACATTCAAGCTATATAAACCATGTCTCAAAGTTGTGGAGCTATCTTGATATGGCTATGGACACGAAATTGTCTTAGAAACGTTATATAGTAAATAATACTGTTCCACTGTGTGATAAGTCTAATCAAACAATTAAAATGGAAGTACAATCTACCACAGTTCTCAAGTTTTATTCTCATATTAATATATCCTTCCTGCTTTCACACTGGGAAAATAAGTTTCACTATGGTGAACTGTTTGCAGAATTCTGTGCATTCAACTATTTGGTGATTGGTGGCACTGTGTTCAAGCACAAGGATATCTATAAAGCGACATATGAAGAAGCCATATGCCAAGTAATTCACAATGGGAAGCTCACTGATGCCTTTGAAGTGAAGACAGGAGTGAAACAAGGTTGCCTGCTATTACCCATGACATTCCTCATTGTAGTGGACTGGATCATGTAACAAACAGTGAGCTGTGAGAAGAGGGGTATACGCTGGATGGCTGGACCGGGAAAAAGATCCCAGGAGATTTGGATTTCGCCGATGACTTGAGTCTAATTTCACACAAACTTGAAGATATATGGGTGAAAACTAACAAGTTGACAGAAGAGGCACGGCAGCGAAGACGGGACTTCAAGTGGACGTAGAGAAGACAGGTGATGAAGATACCCAACCAACACCACCATTAACAACAACAAACACCAATCGCCTTCAATGGGAGAAACTTAAAGGAAGTAGTCTTTTCCACCTACCTACCTAGACAGCATCGTTTCAACTACAGGTGGCACAGACGAGGACGTCAAAGCAGCCAGGATCGGAAAAGCAAGACAGGTGTTCATTGGCCTGAAACCAGTGTGGAAATCTTCTGCATTTAGCATAAACAAAAAGATCCTGATTTTCAACACTAATATCAAGTCAGTGCTTCTATGTGGTTCAGAGACCTGGTGTGTTATGAATAACATTTCCAACAAACTACAAACATCCATCAACAACTGCTTACGCTGGCTCGTTACTCAAGCTCAGATGGAATAAGCAGCAAGGAACTCTAGCAACGAACCAACCAAGAAGCTATCGCTCAACAAATATGCACTGGAAGGAAGTGGAGATGGATTGGGCATGCACTGAGGAGACCGTTTGGGGACATCACGCGCCAGGCACTCGAGTGGAATCCAAAGGGGAAACGGCGAGTCGGGTGTCCGAGGGTGACATAGAGGAGATAGTGTGAAGAAGAAATGAGAGCTTGTGAACTGTCATGGTGCCATGTTCAAAAGTTTACAGAGAAGGGAGTGAAATGGCGACGTGCTACTGAAGCCCTATATTCCACTAGGAACCCAAGAGACAACTAATATAATAATAATGGTGAAGATTCAAATAAGCGAGAACACTTGTTACAAACATCACACATTAGGTTGATTTTTAGAAGTTAAAACCCTTCTTTGAAAAGTTTATGATTAGCCTCGTTATGTTGATTTCATTGCTTTCAATCTTTCAGGTTATTGTTTGTACATCTTTTTATGATAAACATTCGTTATTTTAGGCACAGTAGCAAATAATTGACAAAATCGTTAGAAATAATTTGGAAATAATTACGAACATTTGCAGCTCAGCATATGAATGCTTTAACTGTCTTGTTTTCTGAGCTGAGAATTTAGTTTGGCCAGCATTTCGATGCCGTGTTAGACATCGTCATGACTGCTTCAGAGCTCCTCTAGAAAGTGAATTAATTCGTTGTCTACGGATATTTATAACATGCTACTTGACTGAGGTGTAAGCTAATTGCTGGTCATTCAAATGAAAATTCATGCTTAATGACTGGTCCTTGTTAGCACCTCGTTTAATAGCAGAGAGTTAAGTGGTTGAGTGCGTTAATCACCTCGCTCACTTTAAAAACTGGATAAGTCTTCACATGTCATTAATCGACTAAATCTCTGCATGAATACAAAAGGCTCGCTCGCCTTTTGCCAATTTACGCTATCTGTGGTGCCACCGTGACATCAAATCTCCTATCAAGGACTGAGTTTTCTGCACTGAATTTCGCTTTGTCCTACTTTGTCGCTGTGAAACTTGGCCACTAAAAAATAAAGGACATCAGAAGGCTTTAATTGTTCGACCACTGTAGCCTTCGTAGCGTAGACCATATATCTTCGTGTTACCACCTTAGCGGTGAAAAAGTCGGGCGTAAATTTTTTGGCACAAGACGTCAGTCAGTTGATGAGGTCGTGAAGCTTTACCGACTCAGGTGACTGGAAAATGTGTTACTCATGCCTAGTCACCCTCTGTCTTGTCACACATTGCTATCCGCAGCAGGTTTGGGCTGGAAAATGGTGTGAAGTAACCAGACTAAAACATGGTATCAGCCCATGATGTCTTTGACTGTTGACCTGAGCCGTGTAAGGAAATATAGGTATCCTAGTTGTATCCATACATTATTTTCAGCCTAATCATCTTACCGATCTTATTATTATCTCATCCTTGACTGTTCTCTTCTCACGACTTTCTGCCACTTTTGACTACTTTGTCCATCACTACTTGTCTTTCAACATAGCGCCTGCTACCTTGATATTTGGATATGCATTATGGCATTCAGACCGTTACGCGGTGGTGCCAAGTCCTATGTTGATACTAACTGATTAAACCCAATTAATTGGTTGGTAAGTGCATGTGTATATGTTCGTAGTGACTAGTTGGTGTTTTTCCTGTAAGTTTTCACATAGCGTTGACTTCCTTTGTTTTCATATTGTACTGTGATTGGTTACCTCTTTTGTACTGGATAGGAATGCTACTCACTGACTGGTTGATTCGCTCTAACTGATGAGATTTCCTTTAGTTTTACTGGCCGGTTGTTTCCAAATAAAGGGATATCTTTTTGCATCGATTAATTACATGGAGGAGTTCGGCGAGACATTTTTGATTTATCTTAATCTTGCTAATTGTTGATCTCCTCACTGGCTGAGTTGCTCGTTTCTTTGCTTTTAGATCAGTTGATTCCTCTCTCTCTACTTCTAAGTTGCTATTTATTACTAATTCACTTGAGCACCAAGCGTCTAAAAGTTCTCTGGCCGCTTTAAAGTTTTCACATTCAAGGATTTTCTACTAACTGAGCTACAAGATAGAGCATCGAGACGGAAATCCGATGGTCACTGGTTCGCACTCGGTTGTGGTCCAAATTTTCATTTCACCTTCAATCATCACCCAGTACCAAAACTATAATTCTATTTTCCAATAGCGTATATGTAAAGCCTTAAAGTTTATCATTCACATTTTAGGTATGAATTACACGGATGGTGGCGTATATATTGGTCCAGCTCCTGCAGGAAAGACAAACTCTCAAAGTGGCTCCTGCCTTAGCCCATTTCTAGGGCCATTAGGTATTAATCCAAAGAGAAATCAAATGGCTCTTATCAAACTAGAAACTGTATTTTTCACTTACTTATGGTCACTTGATTTGGAAGCTGTTTTAACTTCAATGTCTTGTTTTCGACTACTTTGTCAAGAAGCTGAACTTTGGAGTAGCGCTACTGCCTTAGCTACAATCACTTCTGCTTCAGATGGAGAATTTTTACAGCGTTCTGATTGTGAATGCTATTCAACCAATACAAATGCATCCACTACTAATCCATCAGGGACATCATACTGGGTGGAAAATCCTAAATTGAATAGTTTGAATGTGACAACACATTCATATCATGGTGATATAACTCGCAAGTCACCTCCTTTTACAAGTGATTACAGGCTAGTTGTTCCATCAGTTTCTGTCGATCAAAGTCCATCTAGCAGTACTCCATCTGAAACAACATGTAAACGCTTTCAAAACTCTTCAAGCTCTTATGACACTGAAAATCGTCGTTCAAATTTACCTGGATCTTGTATTGCTTTATGTAATTGTGGATGCCCTCTTTGTACTCCAGTTAATTACCTTCCAGTGTGTACAAATATTGATGGTATTCCAGCAGCTAATCGATCCATTCAAGATTCAAACTCACATTCCAATTTCAGGAATCCAATCAATTCCGACAGTAATCCAACATTTTGCTCTGAATACTCAGATGATAATACAACAAACTTTCTAATACATACATCAAATAAAATTACAAATCCTGTTTCTCATACAACTAGCTCGTTAGGAAAATCATGTTTATGGTCATTACCGATTCAATGGGCACTTACTGATTTTCGTCTTCCAGATCTTTTACCAGTTTACAATATATACGCTGAAATTGCTGAACATAGTCGATCAATAGTTACAACAGGTCGTGCTCATTTACAAAAACAAATTTTAGCCTTATTACGAAAAATTAATCATCAAACACAAGGAAATAAGCTTGTAAGTTTGACAGATTTCTTTCTTTTTTGTTTTGAAGTTTACAGTGGCCTAGAATGTTTTGAGTCACTTTGTATAAAATATCAGTTATCCGTCTCTTAAGTACAGAATTATCTTACTTATCATTTTGACTACTATCTGAGATAGCCGTCGTTTGGCAGACTGGATGATGATTGAAGGTGAAATGAAGACTTAGACTGTGGCCGAATTTGAACCACCCACCACCGGGTTTCCGGTCTGATGCCCTACCAACTGATCTATGAGGTACAACATCAGACCGGAAACCCGGTTGTGACTGGTTCGAATTCGGCCGTGGTCCAAATTTTCATTCCACCTTCAATCATCACTCAGTATGAATTATTTTTCCAATGAAAAACTGACTAATTTAGAGTTGAACCTGTTGAGATTATACTACGATTTAAACCAAGAAAACTGTAAGTACACATGAACCATAGAGTCCTATTTTGTTACACATATTATCAATCAGCGGTTTATATTTTCCTGAGCACATAGCTGCAAAACACACAATTGTATGCAGGTAGCAATACATCAGTCAGTTTGTTCATAAAAATACTTTTTGTATTCTGTTATAACAATTACAAGGCTTTTCACACTTTGCATCTTTCCTAGTTACAGTAACACCGAAATGGAAGTCGCGAGTAGACTACTTTTTGTACTGTTTCGTTTAATGCAAGCTTACAATCTGAACTGAAATATTTTAAACTTTTGTATTGCATTCTATAAAATATAAATGTTTATCACTTTTACAGGCTTGGGAACATACTTATATGATATGGCTGAGAAGTACAAAGTTTCTTATTAACTATCCAAAATCAAAAGCTTCTGTTCCACCTGGTGGAAGTGAAGATCCATGTTATGAGTCTACTGCCAATACTACAAACAATACTTCAGTGAGTGGATTTTCTCCAGCATCTCTAGGTAGTTCACCATCTATATCTAGTGGTTTGGACTCTATAACAAATTCAGTAGATACTGCTGGAGTTGGTATGAATATAGATGGATTCCCTTCTGTGGCAGGTTCAACTGGAATGATACTTACAATGACGAATACTTCTGGAGGTGTCTCAGCCTCTGGTAGTTCTACTGGAACAAGTCCATTTACTGCTGGAAACGCAAGTACAAGTCGCTATTTGGCTGTAAAACGTCGAGTTAGTCAACAGTCACCTGTAAACGATCATGAAATTGAAGATGTACTCAATGAATGGGCAAATATGACAGGATTTTTATGTGCACTGGGATCTGTGGCCCTGAATATGCCACTACCTCAAGGATCTACCGCATTCTCGACGCAAACATTATCATCAGTTTATTCATGCGTAAGTTTTATTCAGTTTATTATGAATTCATAGTTTTTGGTATTACACATTTACTTAAAATAATGTTCATATTCATTTCATTTTTTCTTCATTGAAAATATATTAGTTTATCGCTTAAGTAATTCTCAAGGTATTCACCTGGAAACTGGGATAATGTTTTTCTATACTGGGTGGTTGACGTTTATTACCAGACATACCTCTCCCCCCCCTAATTTATTTAGGGTGGAAAAAAGAAGTTGGCTGATTCCTCTGTTTAAAAGATAATGTATTTTTGAAATGAACGGGGAATTTTTAATTTAGAGTTAGTATTCATCATGGACTGACATCAGTTGGATAACCATTGAAAACTTCGGAGCACTGGATAGCTGTTTCGTCCCAGTATAGAACTCCTCAGCAGTACTGGCCCACGACCCTGCTACGGATCGAACTCAAGAGACTCAGGTTTCACGGCGAATGCATTAGCCACTCAGCCACTAGGTCGGAGTTCAGTGGAGTCCCATACTAGGACGAAACAGCTGTTCGCCGTGAAACCTGAATCTCTTGAGTTCGATCCGTAGCAGGGTCGTGGGCCAGTACTGCTGAGGAGTTCTATGCTGGGACGAAACAGCTATCCAGTGCTCCGAAGTTTTCAATGGTTCCCCAACTGATGTCAGTCCATGAGGAATACTACCCCTAAATTAAACGACAATGTTTTTGTGTAGCCAAGATACATTCTTATTGGACTAGAAGAATAATATCTAAAAATCTGATCGGCTGAGCGCAGATAAACTATCTATATTTAGATTGGCTTACAAGATCATCATAACTTGTTGCCATCAGGTTAAGATGAAATCCAAAATTAATTTGGAATTTGTAGAGATTTTTATTTTGTAGTGACAAGGTTGTGTACCACTTCAAGGAGCCTGTTTCAAAATGTATTGAGTGTGGTTGTTGTTGATACTTTTAATCCTCCACTACTATACAGGGCTGAACTGTTCGACCTCTGTTGGTAGATGGGGTCCTATGCAGACGCCTTAATATTGCTGATTATTCATGATGTTACATTAATCTCGGTGACAAGAAAAGGGATCCAAGACTGGCATTTCTTCTTATTTGGGACTCGGTTAAGTGAATAACGCTCTGGCGTTTGTTATGAAGGGGTACGAAATCAACAACATTCAATGCAACTGTGCCGGATATTAGCAATGGCCTTAAGTTGTCCAATTCAACTCCCGTCAACTTTCACGCCCAAAAACTATTGCCGTAAAGCAGAGAATTGCAGGGATAATTGTGAGTTAACAGCCACCGAGTTACTGTCCAGAAACCTGCTAAAAACTTGGCGAGCACGAACAGCAGACAAGAGCATTTCAGAGATATCCTATGAAATATATAATGAAAACAAACAGAACTGACCTTCTTGTCACTACAACCTTTATTGACCGGCTTCCACTAGCCTTAAAGCAAACAAACTTGACATAGGCTCTTCGGTCACCTTAAAAAAGTGAATCTTGCACAACGTAGTGTATGTACGTCTGCTTCTCATACTTCGTTTGCGCGTCGGTCGAAGACTTTAAGGACTGAAACGCTGCGAGACAAAAACCCCTCCTAAAGATTATTTCGGACGGTATCGTTGTTCATCACAGAAACAAAGTAACCCTTCCCCAATTTCCTCTGTCTTATAGTGCTTTTCAGTTTCTTGCAACCAGTCACTTGAGCTGATTCATCGTGTATTGTGATTCGACAACCAGTGACACAGGGAGTGAGGGGGGAGGGGTAGAAAATAACACAAGAAATCATTAAAATAATTAGTTCCTACTACTTATTGACATACTTGTTATTCTCCGTTGTTTTGTTGGATCGAATTGTTCGACCCCAATTAACATATGGGCTCCTATGCGGATGCCCCGATATTGCCTGAATGTTAATTATGATAATTTGGTTAGTTGTACAACGGGTAGTAGGTACAAGAAGTGGCTGCCGTTCCTCCGTGGCATAGTGGATAAGGCCTTGGCGTTTGAAGCGATGGGTACGAGGATTGAATTTCATTGGGAACAACATCACTGGGGTGCAGCTACATCCACCTGACGAGTCCTAAACAGGACGAAGTGCGCCTCCTGGATCCTTCTGCTGGCCACAACCAAATTATCACAATTAGTTCCCTTGATAAACTTCGACAAAACAATGAGATGACGTAAATTGTCTGGACCGTGTAATGTATTTGCGTTTCGAACTATCTGATCACCCACGTACTTATCACAGGTATTTATATGAAAATTCATGAAGGGGTGAGAAAATAAAAGGAGGTCAAGCAGGAAGACTGAATTAAAGGCTGAATAACAATGAAAATCGATCCCTGCTGGTGGGGTCGTGGGTGCGCACTGCTGAGGAGTCCCATACTAGGACGAAACAGCTGTCCAGTGCTCCCAGGTTTCCTTTGTTCCTCCAACTGATGTCAGTCTTCGATGAATAACAACTTGAAATATTTCCAAATCTCCACAACCCCCTCAAAATTTAATTGAACTAGTGCTCGTTGGTGACTAGCTTCGAGAAGTATTCCCGAAGTTCCAATGACAAGTCGTGACCGGTGGAGTCAAAGCCTGATGGCCGATAGAGCGGAAATAATAGTACATCGAACTTGGTTTCCATAGATGAATTTACTAAGGAAGACTTAATGTGATAACAAATTGTTTATGAGCGCACAAAGGTGGTTTCAACTTTCGAATAGCTAATGCCTCAACAAATTCAAAGATCCGTCCCGAACACGTTTTGTGAATAGATGTGAAGGAAGTAACCACATCAATCCTGTAACCTGTCTGAACGATATATTTGACGATCGAAGAACTTGGACTTCTGCTACCAACGTTTATGGGTTCAAGTGAGGCTCTTACTTGCATGGAACCGAGAAGAAATTATTAGCCATAGATCAAATGTATTTCTTTTTTTTCCAGTACACGTTTGACGTTTATTACGCGGCACACCTCTCCCCCTGATTTATTCGGGGTGAAAAAGAAAAGGAAATGAAAAGTGATTGGCTGATTTCTCTACTTAAAAGGCAAGGTGTTTGTGTGGCCAAGATACTTCCCTATTGGACTAGAACAATTATTTGTAGGAATCTGATAAGCTGAGCGCAGATAAGCTATCTGTATTTAACTTGGCTTAGAAAATCATCATCACTTGTCATATTGAATCTGCTTTAAGAAAGTAATCGCCATCAGTTTAATATTAAATCCAAAATTAATTTAAAATTTGTAAAGAAATTCATTCTGTTGTGACATTGTAAACAGCCTGTTTAAATTAACTGTACGCCTTTATGATCAACGTACAGGTTCTTTATTTTAGTTTATATTTTGTCAGCTTGTTTGGTTTAAATTCAGATCCAGATGTCTGAATAATTTTATTGTTTCTCATCATGTATGCCAGCATTGATGAGCATCATATGAGAAGGAAATGTGGCTCATTGATCGAGGTATTCGACTTTCAACCAGTGGGTTAAGGGTTTGTACTCCACTCCTCTAACCATAGTTTAGACAGTCTGTTGGTATCATTAGTCTTTGCATAAAAGATGAAACTGATTGTCTACTATGTACAAGTGCACAAGGCTTCTGAGTTTATTTCAATTTTTCTTTCGAATGAATTATACTTTGACATATGGTAATTTGGAAACTGCTTCAATACTACGGAGTACCGCAAACCTTTATCCGCCTCATTCAACAACTATATGAAGATGCCACATGCCAAGTAATTCACAATAAGAAGCTCAGTGATGCTTTTGAAGTGAAGACAGGAGTGAAACAAGGTTGTTTACTATCACCCATGATATTCCTTATTGTGATGGACTGGATGATGCAGCAAACAGTAGGCAGCGAGAAGAGGGGGATACGCTGGACTGCGGAAAAGAGCCTAGAAGACTTGGATTTCGCCGATGACTTGTGCCTAATGTCACATAAACTTGAAGATCTGCAGACAAAAACTAACAAGTTGATAGAAGAGGCAGCGGAGGAAGACGGGACTTCAGGTGAATATAGAGAAGACAGAAGTGATGAAGATACCGCACCACCACCATCAACGACAACAACAAACTCCAATCACCGTCAACGGGAGAAACTTGAAGGAAGTAACCTCCTTCACTTATCTAGGAAGCACTGTTTCAACTACAGGCTGCACAGGCACAGACGAGGACGTCAAAGTGAGAATCGGAAAAGCAAGACAGGCCTTCATTAGCCTGAAACCAGTGTGGAGATCTTCTGCACTCAGCATGCGGAACAAGACACGGATTTTCAACACCAACGTCAAGTCAGTGCTCTTGTATGGCTCAGAGACTTGGCGCGTCACGAAAGGGATTTCCAATAAACTACAGACATTCATCAACAACTGCTTACGCTCGCTACTGAAGATCAGATGGCCAGAAAGAATAAGCAACAAGGAACTCTGGGAACGAACCAACCAAGAACCTATCACGCAACGAATATGCAGGAAGAAGTGGAGATGGATTGGCCATGCACTGAGAAGGCCGACTGAGGACATCACGCGTCAGGCCCTCGAGTGGAATCCCCATGGGAAGCGACGAGTTGCACGTCCGAGGGTGACATGGAGGAGGTCATGCGAGGAGGAAATGAGAGGTTGTGGGCTGTCGTGGAACCAGGTTCAAAAGATCTCAGAGAACAGAGGTCACTGGAGGCGTGCTACTGAAACCCTATGTTCCACTAGGAACCCAAGGGACTAATAAATAATAATATAAATAAATATGGTTCAGTGTGATATGTTAATGATAAGGATTTTCCCTTAGTTAAGGTTAGCTCCGCTTTAGTTTGCGTGTTAGGCATGTGATGCAGTGATGAGTATTATATACTGTTGTTTTCGGACACAATTTATCATGCAAAACCATATCCAGGCAGCTACATAACTCTCTCTGTTCGTTTTTATATTCTATCAACGGGAGAAATCTAAAGAAAGTTGTCTCTCACACCCACCTACCTAGGCACCACCGTCTCAACTACAGGCGGCACAGATGAGGATGCCAAAGTCAGGATCGGAAAGGCAAAAAGACAGGCATTCATGCATTAATCTGAAATCAGTGTGGAGGTCGACTGTACTGCACTGCACTGCACTGCATTCATCATAAAGCATGAACAAGATCCGGATTTTCAACACTAATGTCAGTCAAGTAAGTCAGTGCTTGTATGTGATGGTTGATAGATTTGGTGCGTTAAAACACTGAAGCATTTCCAACAGACTAAATACATGATAGATGAACAGCTGCCGCCAACACTGAGTTGATAGTGAAGATGAAGATCGGATGGTGATGATAATGATAAGAATGAGCAAGGAGGAAGTCTGGCTGGTGACGAGTCGACCAACCAACCAACCAACTAACCAACCAAGAATGTATAGCCCAACAAATATGGAGAAGAATGAAGTGGAGGTGAACTGGATTGGATTGGATTGGACATAGACTGAGTAGACATTTTGGGGACATGACGCATCAGGCCAGGTCGTGGAGTGGAAGGCAAATGGGAAACGAGTAGTTGGGTGTCGTAGGCGAGGGTGACATGGAGTAGATTGTGTGAGTAGGAAATGAAAGTTTGAGGGGAGTGGTGTTGCCGGGTTGAAAAGAGTGGGGAGAAGAGAGTGAAATGGTGATGTGCTACTGAAGCCATATGTTCCGCTAGAAACCTAAGGGACAAATAATAAAATACTGTTATGTTTCGGAGGAAGTAAAATTTTCGATGCCTGCCTAACGTGTATAGTGTCATTCTTATTATAATGATGGCTGTGGTCCAGCCGACGAATATTCGGTTATCAATCTCTCCCTCGACCCAGACAACTTTGCAAACACCTACTTTCAGGTTGATATGTCCCTTTGACAAAGGTATTTTATTTAAAGTCCATCGGTTCTGAAGTACTCCAGTTGTCTGCCTTCCGGCAAACAGCCAGCTCAATATCTGACTGCTTATTAAAGGAAGAGTATGCTGTGCAACGGTCTTCTACTTTTTTCGTATATACTTGTCAGATATTTCCGTTAATAGCAGCAGATATGAAGAGACTACATGTTTTTGATCATAAATCTCTTCGTAGTATTGGTCACATAAGGGGGATCACCGTGTGAGTAATATCGAGGATGGGCAAAGGGTACTAAGCAAAGAAGAAAAGTTGGTCGGTTAGGTGGGGAACCTTCGGTGACTGAGATTGTTTGGACATTTGCTGTGCGAGCGAAGCCACGATCTACCTCGTCGTACCATTCTAGAAGAAGTTGAATTGGGTTAGAAAAGGGTTGAGGGTGGCTAGATCAAGACATGACACCAGTAGATGAAGTGTCTACTTGTTGGTTTTTTACGGGATAGGGAGGCGTAGACTACTTGGCTGAAGACTTTATGGGACGTGGCTGAAAATGGATCATTCTTCGATGTCTTCTGAAGCTTGAATATTTTCATTAACTTTCATTTCCAAATTCTTTTTCCTTCCATATACTTTCGTCTGCTTTGATATCAGTCTTTTACTGCCCACTTGTTCTTTGTCTGCTACTGTCATGCTTCACATGTGCCACCTTGCACCGATGCACTTGTATCCGAGCTTCTACATCGATTTTGTTTATCTCTTTCTGTCTGGTATACAGCCCGGATAAAACAATTGGGGTTCACACCATCGTATATAAAGGTGTACTTCATTTTCCGGAGATGTTAGAGAAGATTTCGGCTCAGAACAAGGACGAAAACGTTTTTGTGTCATCAAAGCATCAAAGCTTTTTCTTGAACTTTTCATTCTCAGATTAGATGACCTTATCAGCATTTGCTTTATGAAGAAGTGTAGCTTTTTCATTTTGTGCAAGTGTTTATGTAAGATATCTGCAAACATGTAGCATTACTAGCTTGTAGGTAGGAGAGATATGCCTTCCTTTTTTATATCAGAGGTCACCTTTATAAATATTGTGACTATATTACCTATGCAACTGACCTATTCTTTGACTATTGATTCGCGTGATTGATTTCCATTTGGCTGGTCTCTTCTTAGTAGTCAGCATATTAGGCCACTATGCGTGTGCCTGTTGATTGCCGTCAGATTGGAATACCATACTTCAAGAAATTCTTCTGCAGTTTTTAAGCTTGCGTATAGTAGTATTCCCATGTTGCCTCAAATGAAGTTTTATTTGTGCTCAATTACACGCATCCATGTCACTGATGATATATCATGTCGATTGAATGCTAGTTAATGCTCATAGATCGTTTAGTCTGTTCGACAACTTGATTAACTAAGAGATTGATTCGGACAGTCTTCCAAACTAACTTTGTGCATTGACTTTGTCCTGTCTTCTTTGAGTAATGGTTTCTCCACCTTGTATGAGATCTTCTGTAGGGATTTCGATGATGACTTTGATGCATCGTAAAGTGATATTTTTAGGGCTGAGGTAGTCTGCATGTCTTCTGTTTTTTTGTTGAAAGGAACACCTTTATAAAGTCTTTTTGAAAGTTAACATCTGTGAATACTTTGTAAAGGTGATTTTCTTCTAACTTTTATGAATGTTGATTTCTGCAGTAAGTCTTGGTACTAACAAATAGTGGTGGTACACATATCTTTTTTATGAGATGGTGGTTTGCTACTACTGTAGTTCTAAACTTAATCTGTTTGTTTCGCTTTTCTTTACACCTGAGTTTACGACATTCCATCATGTATTTTACTAATTAGAACATCTAGAAAGTTGATTTCACTATTTTTATCTTCTTCTTTTGTAAACTGAATGCCTTCAGAAGTTTGGTTGATGAGTTTACATGTGTGTTTTTAATTCACTTGTTTACAAGTTACAGAAGTTCCAAACGCATATTCCCCTTCATGAACTTGAGTCGATAAAAAAAACAATGTTTGAAATGGACTAAAGTGGTACCAATTTGTTTCGTCAGTTCCTCTTCAGCTGCTCACAACTCAAAAAATATATAAATCACTTAAGAGAAGGACTTAAGCATAAAGTTTTTGCAATTACATGAAGTAAGTTAACAGGAAACACTATGGTTTAATAGGAAATATAAACATCCGAATAAAGTTAACAAGACATAATGTTGTTCATTATATTATCCCGTCGCTGAATGGACCGAATTGATCGGTCTCTGTTGGCATATAGGTTCTTGTGCGGATGCCTAGATATGGCCTGTGTTTCAGTTATATATATATATATATATATATATATATATATATATTAGCGACAAAATCAAAAACCATACCCGTCGCACAATAAGTGGCTATCATAGTTAGGTGGTCTAGCGTTTCAAGCGATCAGTACTAAGTTCGAGTCCCGATGGGAACAACACCGCTCACTTGGAGGCAGGTACATCCAGGTGACGAGTCCCAAAACACGGTCCATATTTCCAGCTTCTCGGCTGTTGCGCTATATCGTGAGCTAACAGAAGTTGGAAATATGAAACACTGGATTCTGACGCAGTGGCTCAATGGTAACGCGCTGGCCATGGAGCCTGAAGGTCGCGGGTTCGGTCCCTGTCGAGGTCATGGGTGCACACTGCTGAGGAGTCTCATACTAGTTGGACGAAACAGCTGTCCAGTGTTCCTAGGTTTCCTTTGTTCCTCCAACTGATGTCAGTCTATGATGAATAACAACTTGAAATATTTCCAAATTTCCACATCTCCCTCAAATATTCATTTAAAACAACTTTTATTTTATTTTGTTTTAATTAATTTTCAGGATCAAAGCAAAGTGAAATCTTTACAATCTCATTGTCCACATTATCATTATTGTTCATATCATTTATTAGATCATGTACATCAACATTTTGATCCAGCATGCTTAGGAGCAAATTACTTTCTACGATCTCATCGTACAAATTTCAATAAGAATACAACTGACATTGATCAAACTGATGATAATCATAATCTTAATAAATATCATACATTTCATGGTGCTTGTTTAAATGAATTAAATAATGTAAGACGTCTTTCATTTGTTCAATCTAGCTTAAATCAAGATAATCAATTCTCACCTGTAGCTCAGTAAGTGATTTGTTTTTAAATTTCTACTCTTTATATTGAAGTCAACTGACAATAATAAGTCTGTATACAATAAACAGTTTCACTGACATAACACACACAACTCGAACTATGGTGCTTCTAGAATAATACTACACTTCTCTTATCATCGTTCCTCTACTCACCATATTCTTCTGGATAATCCTATAGTCTTTCAGTCGATTACTAAACTTCTTTATTTCTCTATCTAACATACCACCAGGATCAATTCATTCATTTAATCCTTCTCTTCAGTCTCATGTCTGAGGTTTGTTTCTATCAGGTTCTCATAATAAGTTGCCATTAACATTCTACAAACAGGAATCTGTTCAATTCACTTCTTCTTCTTCTTCACTGGTCTGTTAGTAAAAGTATAATTTAATGAAGTCAGAATTCAATTAACCTTCTTTACCTTTCTATTTTGCCTTTTATAATATATATTAAAGGCGAATAACAACAAATGTTACCCGTTGAACAAGTGGTTACTTTCATGCCCTAGTGGCTTAGTGAATAACGCTTTAGCTTTTGAAGCGAGTTTAAGTCTCAGTGGGAATACCATCATTCACTGGAGTGCAGATACATCCAGGTGATGAGTACCCAATCGGACGAAACGCATGTCATTGATTCCATTGCAAACTACCAAAATGAATACAAAGTCAAAATTTTGTTTTCATAGACTGAATAGTATTCTACTATTTTTTTTTATTATTTTACTCATATTTTATAGGTTCATAGGTAATCTATTATTACTAATTAGTTGTCAACATGAAAAATTTGGCCATCAAATACAAAAACACGTGAAAGAATCTATTGGTAATGAATTGAATCCTTTAATTTATCCAATTCTTTTCAATCAATTACGTAGTCATGTGGATGCATGCTTTTCTGGGCAAGGACAACAACAAGTTGTTGTCACAGAGACAAATACATTATTTATTGAAAATGTTATCTTTATTATGCGTAGTATACTGGATAAACGTACAAAATCTGTTGATCGACTAAGTGATCACTTGGAATTGGTTAGTATAGAAAGTTTAATGTTAAATATCGTTAGGTAAGTTCATGTGTAAATGTATATATTCTATCCTATATTTGATTCCTTTGATGAATTTAAAATAATTTGAGCCACAGTAGGATTCGAACCAATCACCACCGAGTTTCCTGCCCGGTGGTCTACCAACTAAGCTACGAGGTCCCACTGCTGACCAGATTTCTTTATTTCACTCCAATCACCAAGGATTTTGCCCAACTACTATGTGAATTCGTGACGCGTTACTACCGCTTGATCTTATTCACACTGGTTACCTAGTCAGGACTTCTCATTCCAATCCAAATCTAACTGAATTAGAGAAGGAAAGGAATAGCATATTGTTCATTATTTTGACTAATATCTGAGATAGTCGTGATTTGGTAGACTAATATTTATACTGGGTGATGATTGAAGGTGAAATGAAAACTTGGACCACGGAGGGATTCGAACCAGTGTTCTACCAACTAAGCTACGAGAACCGACTGGTGACCAAATTTTTATTTCACTTCAATCATCATATAGTATCAGTACAAGTCTATCAAACCGCGGCTATCTTAGATAGTTAAAATGATAACCAATATGATGCTCCTCTCTTTTTAATTTCAGTAGATTTGGAGTGAGATGTGAAGTTCTGATTAGGCAGCCAGTTTGTGTATGGTCATGAATTCATATGACAATCGGGTAGAACCCTTTTTGACTGAGGTGAAATAAAAATGTGGTCAATAATCGAATCTCGTAACTCAGTTGGTAGAGCAGCAGGACTGAAACTCAGCAGTCGCTGCTTTCAAAATTTCTTCAGTCTGTAATAAAACTTGATTGTTCGACAGAATAATTCATCAGTTTGAATATTTTGTTAAATAAACTTCATAGCTATTTCACCGGATGCAACTTCATGAGAAAGTTCACCTGTTTGTCTAGTCAACATTATACAAGCTTCTCTGTACATTGTGGTTTCCAGGGCACAGTATGAATTCTTAGAGTTAGTTTTTATACTAAAGCCATAGGAATCGAATAATGAAAATACCCCATGTACACTGTGCCCTTAAATACTGAATATTTCTACAGGACCCATCCATCACTTTGAAGGAGTTTTATGTTTGTATTTCTAAACAAAAGTACCTGCTATAGGTGGTTATTTCAACAGATTTTCTGACTAATTTCAGGTTGATATTCATCGTAAACTAACATCAGTTGGAAAACCATTGGGAACCTGGAAGCACTTTCCAGCTGTTTCGTCGTAGTATGGGGCTCCTCAACAGTGCGTGGCCATAAACCATTATAGATCGGACCCAAAACCTTCAGGTTCTACAGTCAGCATGTTACCATTAGTGGGTCAGTATCCAGTGATCCACATTGAGAAACTATCCTCATGTCTACATTGGTTCGTCACACTGGTCACGAGTTCTCATATAAACTTCGGAAATACCATCTCGAAACAAGTCATTAGTGAGCATTAGAGAGTAATTCAATTCTGAGGTTTATGGGGGTTCATTTATTGATTGCAAGTTAGTATTCCTCATGGACTGACATCAGTCAGAGAAGCATTGGAAACATGGGAACACTGGACAGCTGTTTCGTCTCAGTATATGGGTGGATTCATGGCAGGGTCATGACTGCGTACTACTAAGGAGTCCCATACTAGAACGAAACAGCTGTTCGGTGCCACTAGACTTTCAGTGGTTCTCCAACAGATGTCAGGCTATGATGAATACCAACCTGACCTCTTAATTGAACTTTTGGTTAAATGTTTAAGGGAAGGATGTAGTAAAGAAATAGTTAACTCTTTGTAGATAGATTCTACTTATAATCTTTACATTCAGGACTAGATATCCTTAAGAAATACTTTTGTCCAGATAAATCAGTTGAATTGTCTTTGCAACCAAACTTCAATTGACTCATACCTGTTGCAAATATTCTACTGAGTATGTAGGAGATAAGCTTATTCTTTACTAGTAGCCTAGACAATTTGTCAATCTTATATTTTGCTTCTTACCATGGTCAGTCTATGCTTAAACAACCTTTTTATCTACTACTTATTCATTATAAAGGTATGTTCGTCACCTAGAATGTGTACATTCTCTTCAAATTAAGATTAAAGTTTGTCAATTAGTACAGAAAATGATGGCCCGACGTGAAGATTTAGCATTCAGACAGGTTTGTTTTGGTTTTAATGTAGATTTTTATTACTCTGTTTAATTTTTTTCTCTATCTGTTGAGAATTTTCTTTCATTTCTTTCTATTGTTTTTAAAATACAACGGCTTGAACCGATGCGCTTTCGTTTATTGTTATAATTCTCCCTATGTCTGTCCATGAAAATTAAGAAAGATTCAGACAGAAGTGACCAATGAAAAGACCCTACAAGACTTAGATTTCGCTGATGATGGTTTATGTCTAATGTTTTATGTCGCACAAACTGGAAAATCTACAGGTTGGTAGAAGTGGTAGGGCAGCCAAGACAGGACTTCCTTCAGGTGAACATAGAAAAGACAGAGGTGATGATGATACCCAACCAACAACAACAAGAACCACTCACCATGAACGGGAAAAATGTAAAGGAAGTTGTCTCTCACACCCACCTACCTAGGCACCACCGTCTCAACTACAGGCGGCACAGATGAGGATGCCAAAGTCAGGATCGGAAAGACAAAAAGACAGGCATTCATGCATTAATCTGAAATCAGTGTGGAGGTCGACTGTACTGCACTGCACTGCACTGCATTCATCATAAAGCATGAACAAGATCCGGATTTTCAACACTAATGTCAGTCAAGTAAGTCAGTGCTTGTATGTGATGGTTGATAGATTTGGTGCGTTAAAACATTGAAGCATTTCCAACAGACTAATACATGATGGATGAACAGCTGCCGCCTACACTGAGTTGATAGTGAAGATGAAGATCGGATGGTGATGATAATGATAAGAATGAGCAAGGAGGAAGTCTGGCTGGTGACGAATCGACCAACCAACCAACCAACTAACCAACCAAGAATGTATAGCCCAACAAATATGGAGAAGAATGAAGTGGAGGTGAACTGGATTGGATTGGATTGGACATAGACTGAGTAGACATTTTGGGGACATGACGCATCAGGCCAGGTCGTGGAGTGGAAGGCAAATGGGAAACGAGTAGTTGGGTGTCGTAGGCGAGGGTGACATGGAGTAGATTGTGTGAGTAGGAAATGAAAGTTTGAGGGGAGTGGTGTTGCCGGGTTGAAAAGAGTGGGGAGAAGAGAGTGAAATGGTGATGTGCTACTGAAGCCATATGTTCCGCTAGAAACCTAAGGGACAAATAAAAAAGGAAAGTAATGAAGATGGCCTAACTGTCTCTGCCTTTACAAAAAAATTTATTGGTAACTTTATGTGACCGTAATAATGTTGCCTTATTCCTGGTGTTACTTTTTGCATAGTATCTCAATAACTTTTCAGTTTTAAAACTTAAAACTCCAATTACTTTCAGCATATTTCTTTAGCAGTATAACGCTGATCAATTTGCTACTTACTTAAGTCTCCACACATATATCATCTGCAAGCATACTTGTATTCTCATCATTCATTCTCTTACCACATTCTTGTCACTTATTAGGAAATACAATATGGATAGGTATTACTTTGGATTTCTAAGGTCATGTCACACTTTACATATTTATTTCGCTTAATCTACGTTTAAATAAATGAAAAAAAATGATATAAAATTTTTTTTGCTTATCTCACAGCTTGTTGTTTTGCTATTGTCACAAAAAGTAGAACTATTTATCTGAAATATAATGGAGAAATTTTCTCAGTGGTTTATTACATAAAAATTCTACCTGATCGCTGATATTTATATCCACATGACAAGGAAGCATAAAGCCAACCTGATAAGATGAGTCGTAAGAGTGATCAAATCTACGGGTGTCAACCTATCCATGATGCAAGCTTCCACAAACGAACAACTATTCTTTCTCCATAGCTGTCAACCTCTAGCATATACAAAGCAATATCCTTAGACTTTAGGGGATTATCAACCTTTATAAAAGTTGATCAACAATTGTGAAATCAAGATCACTTTTCTACTTATTAGACACTGAGGCGAATTCCTTGTTTATTGACAATACATTCAGAAAATCAACGTAGAACCTTTCACATAGATACATCAGCTGAAGTTGACACACTTCACTATAGTACACAAACAACACGTCGAAAGATAAAGGAGTGATATCAAAGTAGATAAAGTAGTGTGAGACAATCAAGAATCTGTGGATGAAGGTTAATATGAATATTCAAGCTTCATTAGATGTCAAGTAGTGAATAAATCTGCTCCATTGTGACTGATTTTGAGTCATGTCACGAAGAATCGTGAACCACTGATTCCTTGTGAGTTGGAGATCTGAATCAGGTTGTTTTGCGTTTCCCCATACGACTGAGACCAACAGTGTGAGACTTGATCGAGTGATGCTAGGTGTTGATCTGGTCACCGTGAACGCTTCTTCAACCTTAGCCAACTTTCTTTTGTATGGTGTGTTGAGGTAGTTGGTGGTTTGGCATGCACAGTGCATGTCCAAGTCAGCCAGTATCAACCGGGATCCAGTCGAGCCACATACTTTCTGGCTTAGCACAGAATGCTACACAAATGCCTACAAGTTCACGAGTTAGCCATAAATTCTCTAGAAACACATCTCATATTTATGACCCGATATGCCGAAGTTTTGACCCACCAAGTTTGTTTGATTTGACGAAAGGTGAGGGGGTCGAAAGTTGGTTTGGATTGCCGTCTCAGAAGACTAATAATGCCATTCCTTGAGAGCTACAGAGCTGAAATAAATGACGTAGGAATATTAACTGTCAGGTGCCGAGAGAGATTGAAGACTAAGTATGGGAATGTTGATAATGATCTGAGGGAACTTGAGGCTTACTAGGGTTGAAAAGGCAGTTGACACTTCTTAGCTGTCAACAACATGAAAGGTCACTCCTTCTTGAGATATCTGAAGGAGAAATTATTTTAGTAATTGTGATGCAGGATGGCAAAGTTCAAGGAACATCTGATTGTGCCAGATCATGCATGGCCTTTGTGAAATTTGAGTTTTAACTTTGATTGACTTAAATCCAGCTAGGAAACTCATACTACCGGCTAAAGAATACCTCAGAGTAGGAGGAAATGTGTTTTTTTTGGACCGACCATTCCTGATCCCTTTACCTGTACACAGGGAAGGCAGTATCAGCATGTACTACTGGTCCATTGTCTGAAACCATCTTTTTGCTGTGACATGCCATCCAACCAGTAGTATAACTTCATCCCCAGATACTCATCACAGCGTAACTATTTACACTATATTGGTTACTGTTGTTTTGTCTTATTAGTATTCAACAAGCTTTTCTGGTATGATATGACCTTAGGAAACTAAACGTTTCAAATTCAAACCCCCTGATAATGTGCTAAAATCGATTATTATATCAAAGATTAAGAGAGAATAATAAGCTTATTGAAACTCATTACAAAGATGCTTCTAAGACTTTTAGGAAACTAGTGTTCTCTTGTAAATTTCAACTTATATGGGTCAATTCTGGAGTCATTAACTTTATCATTATACCATTCAGATCACGTTGGTTAGTCAAAGTTTATAGGATGAACTTACAAAGCTACTGATATGTATTGCTGATTTTGAAAATCTAGCGTCAAAACATAAGCCAACCGTGATGTTGCATCACTAAAGTTTGATGGGTAAACGGTAAACTTGATCGACATATTTTGATCAACACTTGTAACTAAACAGTTGCAGTGATTACCAATAATTGATAAACTTTTAGAATTTTTAGTAAAAACAAGTTCTCATACTAAAAAAATATTCTATTCTAGGTTTCAATGTTTCTACAACTATCTGTCAGTTATCAATGTTACTCTTTGAAAGCTCATTTATTTTAATCATATCGATCATGAATCTTTGGGATAAAAATTATCGTAGATAATTTAAAACCAACTTTTTATTTACTTATTAAGGTAGTATTCATCATGGAATGACATCACTTGGGGAACCATTTAAAACCAGAGAGCACTGGAATGCTGTTTTTTCTTAGTATAAGATTCTTCAGCAGTACACACCCATGACGTCGTAAGGAACTGAACTCAGCATTTTCAGGTTTCACAACAAACACGTCAGCCATTTAGCCATTGGGTCGGATTTTAATGATCTTGATGGAATCTCGAAGGTCTTGAGTTCGGTCCATGCAGGGTTCGTGGGTGCGGACTGCTGAGGAGTCCCTTGCTAAGACGAAACAGCTGTCCAGCACTCCCAAGTTTTCAGTGGTTCTCCGGACGAATATCAGTCCATGATTAATACTAACTTTAAATTAAAGTCCTCATTAACCCCAAAATAAATTTACTTATTAAAAAAGAAACAACTTGCATTCATGATTTTCGTACACTTCAATAAATGATATCGAAATTGGGGGATGAGAATTTTTTAAACATATAACCATCCTATAAGGTAGTTATCCCGACGATGTTCTTATCATAGTACGCATTCAGTTGTTTAAGGATTCCGGTTGTTTGTATTCAGTCAAGTTTTGCAGATGTCGTATGTGTACATGGGGACTTAAACATGTTTAGAATACTTCGAATATTTGTTCAATGTGTCAAGTGGGAATTTTCATCTTTCTTCAATAATTCCAAGTTGCCTGAAATATATATATATATATATATATAATGGATAGTTGCTGGCAGTGGATTCCAGGATGCTTGTTTCCTTCTGTTTGGGAGTCGTCAGCTGGATGTACTTGCTTGACAGTGAGCAGTGTTCTCCCCAGTGGGACTCGGACTCGCACCCGATCGCTCCAAATGCCGGAGCATTATCCTCTAGACCACCAAGTCATGAACAGCCACTTCTTGTTGCTTGTGTTATCCCGTCGTTGATTGGACTGAATTGACCGGTCTCTATTGGCATATGTGCTCTATCATTAGCATATAACTCAAAGACAGGCAATATCGAGGCATCCGCACAGGAGCCCATATGCCAATAGAGACCGATCGTTTCGCTCCACTCAACGAGGGGACAATACAAACAAAAAATTACTTGAAGTATATTCAATGAAAAAAATAAATTGCTTCTTATGTGTTTTTCTCTATATTTTAGGAAATGAGATTTCGTAATAAACTAGTAGATTATCTGTGTGATTGGATTATGGGTAGCAGTTATCATCTGAATCTTTCAGTGGAAACAAATTACTCGACCAGTAATTCTATTGGCACAACAATGACAGCCACTTCAGTCACAGGTGGTAATTTTTCCAGTATTCCTGGAGGTTCAAATACTTCAGCAACTACCTCTCTTACATCAGAGTTTCATGAAAATCTTCCTTTATCCGATATGTCACTATCAAATCCATCAGTCATAGTTCCAACCGGAATAAATGTGCCCATAAATCAAACCCAGAATAGTCTTGTCGGAATGACAAATTATAATATACAAACAACTCCATCAAATTATATATTTACTGCTGGAACTTGTGGAGTAGTTGCAAATTATGGTAGTTATCATGGTGGTACAGCTAGTTCTTTGAGTAATCCGTATGCCAACTTCTTTGCATCGTCGAACTATGGACCAGCCAATTATGCATCTCAAGGACAATCACCAATCAACTTTGGAAATCGGTCTGACTTCACTTGTCCTAATTACTCATGGGATAGTTCTGCACTGAATTTAGGTACTGGTATCGGATTGATTGCTTATGGTCAATTTTCTAATAGTCCATTTCCACCTTATTATAATACTACAGAATTGACTAATTTGAGCAATATACCACATGGAAGTGTAGTCAGTAACCGTTCAATAACTGATGGATTGAGCGTTATGGGACAAAATCACTCATTAAGCGTTATGAGTAACAAATCAACTGGTTTGGTTGGTGCATCTAATCACAGCTACACATCTTGCGGCAGTTCTTTATCAACAGGATCTAATCTATCGACATTCAACCCAATTAATATTCAAGGAAATGTATCAAAGAACGCTGGTTTTACACCGACGTTTAGTGGAGCATATACATCATATCCTTTACAATCTTCTACCGCTCATGTTTCCTCAGGATTAAGTAGTGTCAACTGTGGTTTGCATACATACACAAATACTAATTCACTTTATATGCCAACAGTTTCTAGTTCTGTAGTTTCAACTCTAAGTAGCGGAAGTGGTGTTTCTAATCTTCCAAGTGTTTCCACATCAGCAGGTATAGTAGCACAGACTGCAGCTCAAACAAGAGAATTAGATTTAGCATGTATGGAAGCGGTAGCCGCATTACTTCATGGTATGCCTCTACAACCAGAAGAAATAGATCGTGCTGATTTAATGGATGCTAAATCACATTTATTTGCAAAGTGAGTTTTTATAAGTCTGACTTTCTTTTTAGCCTGAAATCAATTAATGGAAAATTGCAGTTTCAGTTACTTAAACTGTAGAGCATATTGTTTCGTCTATGTGTAAAGCATTCACTATATTTTTCAACAGAAATTATCAGAAGTATTTCACAGTATCTGGATATGTTAACTTGGTTTATTTGTAAGCATTTCGGAACCGAGTAAAGATATTACACACGACCAGCATTAGATACACAAATTATTATTATTTTTTTCCCTTGGGTTCCTAGTGGAACATAAGGCTTCAGTTGCACGTCTCCATTTCATTCTGTTCTCTTAAGTCTTTTGAACCTGGCCCCACAACTGTCCACAAGCTTTCATTTCTTCCTCACACCATCTCCTCCTTGTCACCCTCGTACGCCCAACTCGTTGTTTCTCCTTTGGGTTTCACTCGAGTGCCTGGCGCGTGATGTCCCCGAATGGTTTTCTTAGTGTATGTCCGATCCATCTTCACCTTCTTCTTCTGCATATTTGTTTGGCGATGAGTTCTTGCTTCGTTGATTCGTTGGCACAGCTCCTTGTTGCCTATTCTTCAGATACACAAATAGACAGATTAAAATAAAGGCTTGTAAGGAAGTGCTTCGATTCAGTTCACCGAACTGAAAAACAAAACATAAGAAAGGAGGCAAATCAAAACAGAACAGATGTTAGTTGGTTTGAGGTAGTCAGCTAGAAGTCCTGGCTTGGGGTTCGTACTTTTTGGCACTCATCAGCAAAGTAATATCTGCAATCTTGAAGGTACTGATGTCCTACTTGAGAGTCGAACCAACACCACTCAGTGCTGCAGTCAGAGACGTTACCACTAAGCTACTAGAGACGTGACTAACCTTCTGTAGGAATGGATTAGGTACATTAAATGCTCACTGGAGGGTAACCAACTTCATGTTGTCTAGTCGTGAGTAGGCATCGAATTCTATTGATTATTTTGCAATATGTTAAAGTCTCTGACTGCAGCACTGGGTGATGAGGGTGAGACATCAGTCCCGTAAAGATTGCGGATACTTTTTTTTCTGACAAGTACCAAATACACAAAAACTAGGTCAAGTAGGGCTTTCAGCTTGTAAAAAAGGACATTATAACAAATAACTAAGATGGTTGTTAGTGAGGATGTTCAAAACTTCTAAAATGATAAGGACCGAACAAATCTATGCCGTTCTAATTGGTTTCAAGTTGTTTAATTTCAGTGAATAAGTAATCAGCAATTGGTTAGTGGATGATGAACAGAAGTGAATGCAGAATCGTAAGACATTTACATCACAGTAGTTTCTTCTTCTAGATTAATAGTCAAAGAATAATTTCAAATTCTGCTGTTTGTAATGAAAACTACTTTCAAAACAAAAAGTCTTTACAAACTCCCAGTCGAATTCATTTTCAGTGCTAAATAATAAGTTACTTCAAGATGGATTTCCCCAGGTTCCAGTGAAAAGTAGAAATCTTTGAAGTTAACCAAGTCAAGAGTTAGGTGGATGCTCATCTATGACATTGGATGGTGGTCACACTGTCTTTGGTTACTTGAAGTAAGAGGCTATTGAATTTCAACCCTGTAACAGAGTGGTAATACTGTCAGTATGAGATCTGACGATCCTAAACTTGATCCTCCACAGGGTAGAGTGAGTGCACACTTAACAAGATACACTCCAGATTAGAACAACTATTCAGTGTTCCTAGCCTCTAAATTGTTCCCCAATTGGTGTTAGTCAGTAGTGAAAATTACTTTCAAGTCTACAAAAATCTACTTTCAAAGTACGGTTTTAAGTAAGTGAGGGAAACCAGTTCATGTAGTCATCAATCTTCATCAGCTGAACCATTTGCACGTTTGTGCATGTGACGCCTATATTAACTATTAATTATAGACAGTACCAAATATACACCAGGATGGTAAAAAAGACAGTATCAGTTAATGAAACAGCTAACTACCGATTCACGTTTATTGTATCGAGCTATGGGTTAGCTGGCTGGTTTCGAAGTCATTTACGAAATCACTAGTGTAGCATATTTCAGACGCTACTGTAGTCTATGTTGATGCATTCACACCTTAAAAGTAACTGAATATTGAGAAAAATGTCAATGTTTTGTTGCTTATTTTATTTCTTTTTATGTGTGTTGTGAAGATATGTGATAACTCCATTCGATGCACAATTTTGCCATTTAGAATGATTCAACAACTATATGCCAGTTTATACATTGGTCTATGCTCCACATTTGAGTAGACCGAAGGAGGTGGCATGCGTTTGATCTAGGATAATATGGTTTCTCGACAATTGAACCGTATTTCTGAAACGTATCTGTGAGCTCGACAGACCAGAATCGAATTTAATCAGGGATTGAGTCATAAACATTGCTGCTAAGATATTCAGATTTTTAATCAGTTATCCGTTATCTGTGTACTCAGTTCTATATAAGCTCCTTGATATAGGAAGTAAATACTTTTATAAAATTCTGTTAAACTAATTTCTCCAAATTTTGATAAGTACATATTTCCTCTTAGAAAGCAGTTTGCTGCATGCCTTAAATAACTTGGAGTACAGAAATAAAAGTTTAAACTTGGGTACTCCAGGTAAAGTGTAATTTGACTCAATGAAACTGAATTCAACTGATAAATTAATTTAGATACTATATTGGTATAACTAATTTCGTTTCATTATTCCGATTAACTGACTGACAGAATCAATATAGGAACTCTTACACAGATACATCAGCTGAAGTTGACACACTTCACTATAGTACACAAACAACACGTCGATAGATAAAAGAGTGATATCAAAGTAGATAAAGTAGTGTGAGACAATCAAGAATCTGTGGATGAAGGTTAATATGAATATCCAAGCTTCATAAGATGTCAAGTAGTGAATAAATCTGCTCCATTGTGACTGATTTTGAGTCATGTCACGAAGAATCGTGAACCACTGATTCCTTGTGAGTTGGAGACCTGAATCAGGTTGTTTTGCGTTTCCCCGTCTGACTGAGACCAACAGTGGGAGACTTGATCGAGTGATGCTAGGTGTTGATCTGGTCACCGTGAACGCTTCTTCAACCTTAGCCAACTTTCTTTTGTATGGTGTGTTGAGGTAGTTGGTGGTTTGGCATGCACAGTTCATGTCCAGGGTACCTCAGTTGACTAAAGCTGAAAGCCTCATGAATCGACTTGCCAGCATGTCTTGGTGAGTACCCTCCATCTTACCTCAACATTTGTCACGTAGTGATTTGACGAGAGATGGAAAATGCTACGAGGGAATCTGTGGTGAGGAGTTTGTAACCACTTCATATGTTTTACTTTTAACGGCTGTGTGTGATAGGTGTGGGAGAGGATAGAACAGACTGTAGCACATTATACTTGTGGTTTGTTATGTAGTTGGAGATCTCATGAGTTGGCACGATAGATGATGAAACTTGGGAAATGCTAAATGGGTCTTTTCTATCCAAGCTGAGGTTTTGTCAGCAATCAGCCTGTTTTGGCTTTGTTTTTCAGTTATTGACGTTTGATCTAATAGTTTAATGATATTATCAATACTAACTTCATATGAAGTCACTCACAATCATATGATTATGAGCAATAATTTATTCTCGAAACGTCATCAAGTAGATAAAACTATATTACTGTGAGATATATATCAAACAAACAAGTCTAATATGAAATAGAGGGGAGAGATGTACAAAATAATACTAAGAGTTATGAGGAAACTAGTCTAACAAACTTCTTTTGGGTTGTAGAGATAGATCTTAATCACCTCTCTTATTTGAAGTAAGCGAATATGTAGTCCATGTGGTAAATTAATTTAAATATAGTGAACAATTTTAGATACTTTTCTAGTATTCACTTGATGTCCAGTGTCAATTAAGTATGTAAGTATAAAGCTGTTTATTTTTATAATTTTTCTTTTGTTCAACCATGAATGGGTAGTGTTTAGAAATTTGATAATGAACCTGCCTAACTACATTATGTCGCATCTTCTACAACCACTCGATTCTAGCTGTTTCATTAAGCATACATTGAGACGATCGACAGTGTAAACAATCACAAGTAGACAGAAACTCGAAGTTTCATGGCTTAGAGATTATTATTGAATAACTGTGTTATGACTGATTGAATGACAGTTCAGTTGATTTACCAATGAACTGTAAAGATAACAAGATGGTTATATGATTTATGATTACTTTTAAAAGGCTTTAAAAAAATCACCATAGTTGTCAGAAATCACAATGTCGATATACACAGATACAATTATGCACTGTTATTGAGTTTTTTTTCAATGATTTTATCAACTATAACTCATATATATATATATATATATATATATATATATATATATATATATATATATATATATATCCTTTCTTATTCCGTATAGGTATTTCTCACTTTTTATGAATTTGCTGAATGACGTTGCTGATGATCGAGAGAAAGGTGCAGAAGTAAGACAGAATCATACAGCTCTACGCAATGTGACAGTTCAAGCTATGTCAAATCTTTTAAATGCTAATATAGAGTCTGGATTAGTGCATGCCATAGGTAAGTTAAATGTGTTCAGCCAAACTCTTTCAATATCCTTCAGTAAATTTAACTTTCCTGTATACATTCAGCATATATCTGTCTCCCTCGATGTATGTGTGTGTTTGTGTGTGTATAAAAGCTGATATCCTTAGTAGGTTGATTATCAGAATATTTTATAACAAACACCTAACTATAACTAATTTTTAAGGTCACATTCATCAAGGGCTGGCATTAGTTCGGGAGACATTGGAAACCGGGGGGTGTACTAAACAGTCGTTTCGTTCTTATATGAAACTCCTCAGCAGCACGCACTCATGCCACCCCCCCCCCCCGTGAGATCGAACTCAAGACCTTCTAGTTTAACGGTGAACACGTTAACCATGCAGCCACTAAATTGAAGTTCAATAGTCTACACTTTCCTACTTCTGATAACTCGGTGATGAAGACAAACTAAGAATAGAATCCCGGTAAACCTTAAACTATATTGCTGTAATTAATTTAGCAAAATACTTCAAAAATCGTTGCAAAAAAGCAACAAGTTATCAAGTATTTCTAAGTAGCTACAGACATATAGTTCCATTCATAAGATTGATTCTCTTTACTCCATTAAATGTGTACTAATATTTTGTAAAGTGGTCAACGGATACTTTAATTAAAACGGCTATTTTTGTAGATTAAGTTGTTGTAAATTGTTATCAAAAAAGGCACAACTTATCCTTAGTAATAATAGGTATTTATGTAGCATAGGTTATGGGTGAGGCTCATCAACTTGTTACTACATCTCATAGCAAATGCAAAGCTTAATTTTTTTGTGTAACTTATTCAATGAAAACAGACCTAATTACTAATGCCTAATTTGGGCTTGAAGATAGTTCTCTAGGCGCTTCTATTACCCATTCAAATGAATCATAACTTCATTAATAATGATATATATATATATATATATATATATATATATATATATATATATATATATATTGACTTGGAAGACAGTAACTAGGACTACGTAACACACACCGAAGCTCCTGGGCGAATGAAAGTTCATAACATCATTGATTAACTATTACTTTCTACCTTAAACTCTACGACTAACTTCTCCGCTATTGACATAGCGACGCCTCAACACATGGCCTATGGAATAAAGGCAGTGACAGTCGGACAATCGAATTCTTCTCATGTCCTCTACCTTTAATAATCATCTGAAACATATGATATATTAGAAGTAGTATTCATCACGGACTGACTTCAGTTGGGGAACCATTGAAAATCTGGGAGTACTGGACAGCTGTTTCGTTTTAGTATGGGACTCCTCGGCAGTACGCACCCACGACCCGGCTAGGGATCGGACTCAGGACCTTCAGGTTTCACGGCGAACGCGTTAACCATTCAGCCAAACACCTGTCCATCGCTCCCAGATTTTTAGTGGTTCCCCAACTGATGTCAGTCCATGATGAATACTACTTCTAAATCAAAAAATTCCCCATTCATCTCAAAAATACATATGATATATTAGTTTTAAACAATCTGACCATACATGAACATGTCGAACTATTTACCATATGAAGATTTACGAAAAGGGTCAATGAAGTCAATGGGAAAGGCAGAGAAAAAAATCCTAATCACATCACTCTTGGTATGAGGTAGGTTCAACGTGAATACAAATTGTCTTTGTAGACATAAAGAGTGTTTGGATTTACGGATGATCAAAGCTTCAATAAATTTGAGCACTCGGCCTTGACCACTTTTATGTCGTACTTTAAAAACTGTTTTCATGGTCATTATATCTGAAAAGTCTAAAGATGCAATGTGCCTGCTAGAGAAGATGAAAGCAGCTCAAAATCACACTAGCTTTATTTGTGAACAAGAGACGAACAACTAGCTACCGTTCCTGGACATATTACTTAATCGACGAGAGGATGACTGGACTAGGAGGTCGGTCTATAGGAAGCCTACGTGGAAAGGGGAAATATCCTAATTTCTATAGCTATTTACCAGTCCAATATAAACGCGGTTTAGTTAGATGCTTATTCAACAGGATAAACTGCATCTGCATTGATGACACGAAGGAGGAAGTAACCAACTTACTGACGACAACATTGATACAGGATGGCTACCCCTTGAAATTTATCGACAGGTGCAAAGAGTTATATTGCATTCAAAAGTGTGCAGTGTTTCGTTGCTAAGAAAAATGTCTACATCTCATTACCATTTAGAAGTGATTCATTTGGCTTTGTTCTGAGGAAAAGACAGATTAGCCATCAGTAAAACATATAGTGCAGCCAACGCCATCATTGTAGAGAAGACGAAGTCTATGTTGCAACACAAACTGAAAACAACATATAAATGATTCCACCACATCCCACTGTGTTTATCAATCTACACACACACATAGGGAGGAGTAATCGTGGTATGCAGTTAAAGATGGTTGAACATGTACTTAAGTGGCTTTAAGAGCAAATGACTTCAACAGAACCGATAAATGCAGGAGACAAACGTCAGAGGGTCAGCTTTTAAAGTATGACATAAAGATGGTCAGGGTAGAGTGCTTAAACTTATTGAAACTCTAGCCATCAGTAAATTCAAACCCGCTGCTTTATGTATACAAAAACAGTTTGCACTCAAGTTGAACCTACCTTGGTAGTACTGATTTTAATTTTCCTACCAAGAGTACGTGATAAAGGTTTTTTCTGCCCTTCCTTTTCTCATGTTTTCTACTGACTTAACTAAGTTTTTTTCCTAAATTTTCATGTGGTAAATAGTTCGACAAGTGGCTGTGTGTGTGGTCAATTTGTTTGAAATGTCTAGCGCTACTACATCAAGCATGTATCAGATAATCTTCGTCCTCTCATTAAGCCGTCTAAATTTAATTACCATGTTTAAAGACTGTTGAGTAGAAAAGAGGGATTTGCAGTATAGAATATTCAAACCTTAATAGGAACATGATAACTTAGTCATACCATAAATGATGTGAGTTGACGAAATCTAAGTCAGCCTTTTGTATCCAGATAAAGATTTTTATCAACCGGTGACCTGTTAGGATATGTCCGGTTTCCCACGTAATCGAAGCAGTCAATGTGCTCACCGGGTTGACCTCTTACTGTTAGACGCGGTACCGACAAAGATCAGTCCTGGACTAACAATTGCATTTGGGTAGTGAGAAACTCATTCCAGACATTCTCAAAATCCCAGTTAAAATGTCCAGAAAACTCTGCATGTGAAAGCATCTCCACTTGACAAGATGGTGTCATTTACTTAGTAGTTTCATATAACAAGTCCAATCCGTATATATACAGATGTGGTGAGGGAGACCTATGATAAGTTGGAGAGAATGAATATCCCTGATTGACATCACAAATAGTCTTGAAGATAACCTGAGAAATGTAGTTTCAACAGCGTCTTCCTGTACTTTATGCCACAAAATTTAAGGGTTTTAAATAATAACCCCGCCCCCCTCTCAGATTGCAGATGTATTCAACAAAACATCGTTCTTGGGCTTCGTGAATACTGCTAATCAATATTGCCTTACTCTATTAATTTTTATTCACTACTAATTGATATTTTTTTCATTGGTAATGTTCACCACTGTATAGTCTGTCAGAGAACTACTCTATTCTCTAGTGTTTTTGTTTTCGTTTTTAAGCATAGAAACTGTGTATGAATGCACAATGTACTATTCCTCTTAGATATCATTATAGAAGGTTAACTGTCATCGTTTTCAGATACAACTGGTTTCTGTAATGAATTTCAGTAAATCAAAAAAAATTTATTTCATCGCCTACAATAAGTTGACAGTACTTATCATCTTTTCAGCTGCATATAGGCTTGAAACCACTTTAGGATAAATGTTAATGAGAGTGATTTACATTCATTACTAATTAAGAGGAAGACATTGATGAACACTAAATATTGGTGAGGTGATATGCACTAAACTAACGATTCAGATAAAAGTTATTCAACGTTTATATATTCGAAAAAGAACTGTGATATATGAAGAAACAGAATTAAATAGGTTACTTAAGTGCATATAGACTAATTGTGTGAACACATGATCCAAACAGGTCAAGGTTAAAGCACTTAAAGTCATACAATGATATTGTGCGATGAATAATTCTGCATTAATGTTGTAAGCGAAAAACTTAGGGACTGTGGTTAAATGTAATTCCATATTAGATAGTTTATTAGGCATAGGCACAGTGTGATAAAATAGTACTTACTGGATGACGTTTCAAGCAGAATTTATTGCTCATATTTATATCAGAGTAATCATACAACTTTCAAAATTCACCTATATAGTCCAATAGCTCATTCATTCTGTTACCTTGATGGTAGTAAAATTTTCCATATATCTGCAATACGTGTGATAAGTCATTCTTGTGACATGTGTGGATTCAATGAACAAAGATTCTGTGATCAATTTCTTCCTCCACCTAGCTACATACATTGGATTTTAGAATTGTCACCTTATTCCTCTCCCCGTATAGTGTGGTTATGCATCGGTGTATGTAGAGCAATAGACGAGTCTATCTCTAAAACAATTATCTTACTTGCGTCTACCATTGTATGTTTTGCTGAATGTTTATCTTCTGCTATTCTGACTGACCCAAATTGGCTGCTTTCCTCTATATTCTTCACCTCACAATCATCTCATGGTATTTGATAGATCTTTTAGCTTACAAAGTTTCTCTCTAAGTGAGTTTGTTGGTTTAAATGCTACTCTAATCCTCCCAGTATTGTTACAAATTCCATGTAAAATTTCCGATGTACCTTCTTTATACTGCAGTACTACAGAGGATTTGAATTCCTATTTAGGCATGATGTAATCACCACTAACATTACCACTCTTTCTCTTGTCAGTCCTTATAATTGTTTTACTGAATTCCGGAGGACAATTATTAAAAACTAGTGTCTCTGTTATGTACTTCATTTGTGTATTTAGGCTTTTCGACTTACTAGTCAAACTCCTAGCCCGATTACTTAAACATTTTATCAAGCTTACATTGACAGACACCAGATGAGAT